AGTACTTCGTCTCCGGTTGCAAGTCTGGTCTTCGGCTAAGCGCGTCTGCGATTCCGTTCTTCGCACCTGGAAGGTATGAGAACGCTGGCTGATACTCCGCGAGGATATCGTACCAGCGCGCGAGACGACACTTCGCCATCTTTTGAGTAAAGAGACCTTCAAGACTCTTGTGATCCGTTTCCACGATTGGTGGCTTGTCTAAGCAGTAAATACGGAAAGCTGCCAGCGCGTGAACAATTGCCAGAAGTTCTTGCTGCTGCGTCGGGTAATTGAGTTCCGCTGATTTCATCTTTCTACTGGTGTAAACAATGGGTAGCTCAACACCATCGACAACCTGGAACAGGACTCCCCCGACTGCAAACTTGCTAGCATCCTTACGCAAATGCATAGGCTGATTGAAATCGGGCAAGTGCAACACTGGTGGATTGCACAGCCGTTTCTTCAGCTCCTTGAAGTTCTTCGACTGCTCTTCGTCGAAACGAATCTTCGCATTGCGCTTGGACTTCTTCTTGAGCAAAGTAAACATACTTGCTGTCAGTTTCGCGTAGTCTGGGCAGAATCGTTGGACGTATCCAGTTAAGCCGAGGAAGCTGTGAAGCTTCTCTTGCGTTCTTGGAATTGGCCAGTCCTTGATGGTCTGCACCTTATCTGGATCCATCCGCGCGCCGTTTCTCCCAACAAAATCTCCAAGGCATGGAATCTCGTCGGCACAGAAGACGCACTTGGACAGCTTCACGTATAACTTGTTGTCTCGCAAGATGTCCAATGTTTTGCGGAGAGCTTCCAAGTGATCTTCAATCTTCTGTGTCTTCGTGAAGATGTAGATGTCGTCGTAGAACGACTTCGTGTTCTCCAGATCGCGAAAGAGTTTCGACGTCAATCGATGCATCGTCGCTGGCGCGTTGCAGACTCCCATTGGCAGTACCAGGTACTCCCAGAGTCCGTTGGGCGCCTGGAATGCTGTGAACTTGATATCTTCGGCACGCATTCGAACTTGATAATACGCGGACATCAAGTCCATCGTTGAAAACCAGTACCCTCCGGCCATGGCGTCCAGTATGTCTTCTTTCCTTGTCATCGGTATGCCCTGCCGTATCGTATTAGAGTTCAAGTACCGATAATCGTGAACAATCCGCCACCCAACTGGTTTCCGGACGCAGAAGGTTGGCGCCGCGTGTGGGCTGATGCTTATTCGGATAAGTTTCTTCTTCACCATGTCTATGACCCAGAGCACGATCTCACGTTGCTGCTCAGGTGACTGTCGCCACTGTTTCCGGTACATCGCAAGGTTGGGATCTTTCACGTCGATCCTGTGCTCGATTTCACGCTTCTCCGGAAGACCTTCAGGGAGTTCAGGTTGGAACACCGTGTCCTTGTACTTCGTCAGCAAGTCAAAGGCAGGGTTTGCCTGGAAACTTTGCCAGTCTGTCTCCAGATAACGTTGAGCTTTTGCAGTTCCGATATTGTCGGGTTGGTCTCGCCGCTCCAAGGATCGAGCGACGTTTTTGATCATTTCGTTCGTCAGAACCAACATGAAGTCTGGTTCTTCGATCGACTTGGTCTTGATTCTCAGGAACTTTCGCAGTTTCTTTCTCGTGATGAACTTGGTTTGTATACCAGCTTCATCTGTGATTCCCATCGTGAACATCTTTTCCACGACGGAATCTCTTCCCCTGGTATCGCTGCTCCCAGCAGCAGTACCGTCGCGTCTCGATGACTTCCTCTCGTCTTCGTCTGCTGAACCCTTTCCAGCTGACGCGTCTTCCAGTCGCTCGCAAGCAACTCGTGGGGTCTCACTCTGCTCTGAGTCGTGAACGGGATTGACCGCGGACTTCACACCCGTTTCCAGCGCGGCACCTCGACAGGAATCGGGTCTTTTCGCCGACAGGCCTTTCGCCCCGACAGATCTCCGAAGCCCGGAGGCAATCACCGGTCCGCCTATCTCAATTGCCCACAGGTTTCACCCGCTCGTTCCCAGCGCAAAGTTCTCTCTATTGTTCCTTCGATTCGTCGACGTCTCCAGTCGATCTGTGGTTGCATGTCCTCAAAGAAAGGTATTCCAAGGATGCAGTCAAACTCTTCAGGTATCGCGTAGACAGCTGCGACGCATTCATACGCCTCGTCGATTCCGGCGACAAGGATACGTAGAGGTAGCACCTCTAGCTGGGCCTCCACAATCTGATTGTCTCGTAGCTTGACTCGAATGTTCTTGTCGCTGAACTTCGTTGTCTTCAGCTGGTGTTCTTCTACCCACCGCTTCGACACGTAGATCGTGGTTGCACCACAGTCTAGAAGCATTTTCGATGTTTTCTTCATCTTGCCAGCCACACTGATTTCACCGCCGACGGCGAACAGTGGACGTGACTTGTAGACTAGAGGGTTTTCACACAGAACATTAAGGCTGACATTATCAAACTTAACTGCTCCGGTTACTTTCTCTTCCACGACAGGACCCTCTTTCACTGTCGTGGCTTCTCGTTTCCCTGCTTCCCTTGCTCCTTCTTCCACGCAAAGCAGTTGGCTTTGATGTGGCCAGGTTTGTTGCAGAAGTGGCAGGTACGAGTCTCCTTGCTCTTCAAATTCGAGCTCGGCTTAAACCGTCCCTTTCCTCGGAATGGTTTTCCTTTGAACGTTTTCTTGTTGTCTTGAGGTTGCTCATTAGAGGTCTTCGTCTTCTCATGACGAACCTTGCGCTCACTAGCGTCCTCCACAAAGTGAGTCACCTCAAACTTGACAGCTAAGTCCATGGCGCTACTCAGTGTCTCAGGATTCTCGAGCTTCACGTAGCTTCGCGTGCGAGGCTTGAGACCGTTTGCGTAGAGCAGGACTTGGTCAAGCACGCTCATGCCTTCGACTCGAAAGATGAGGGCTGAGTATTCACCGTTGTACGTCTCGATATCCGCTGTCTGCTTCAGACGCTGGAGCTTATCTCGTAGCACTGACTGGTAGTTCGACGCCTCAAAGTGTTGGAGCACATGCTCACGGAAAATCCCCCACGTGTGCTCTTCCACTCGCGTCGTCGAAGCCCAGTGCAGGAACCACCCCAAAGCCGGTTTCTCCATCGCCGACCCGGCGATTCCTGGTATTCGTGGGCTCGCGTTGTCGATTGCGATTCCGTTAATGCGGCAGGCGTTCTCGACCTTGAACAGCCATTCGCGCACGTCTTCCCCCCTCTTGCCATGAAATTTGGGCAGGTTGCTGGGCACTCGTGTGCGTTCCGCCATCGCTTGATTCAGCCGGTCGATCTCGGCTTGAAGCTGCGCGTTCGTCGGCATGGGCTCTTTGTTGTCAGGTTGCTGGGACCAACAAGTGCTACTGGTTTATCGAAGTCAGGGGAGCTTGGGGGAGAGCGCGCCAAAAGAAAAGAAAAGTGCCTCCCCCGCAGTTCAGACGGATGGAAGCTTCTAGAAGCTTCCACATCCGTCCTACATCTGCCTGTTTATTCATTACAATACTATACATTCCATAGTACTACTAACAACCCATTACAATAAGATAATAATATCACCCAATCGGATACACTTGCTGGCAATCTGAGTGGTGGCGATTGGAGAATGAAGAAATGTCACAACGGGCACCAGTACCGTGGCTTCCATTGCGACAGGGGTAATTGTGGTGTAGTGAGTTCTCCATAGTTGCGGATAATCGTCCGTCGAAAAGACGCGACACCGCCCAAGATGTTCAGGCGACGAACCCTCGGTCATGTGATGTACAGAGACTCCAAGGTGAGGGAACCGACGCGTCTGCGCCGACTTGGTTCTGTTTCGAGTCCGTCAATGCCGACACCATCTCGCTGTGGACTTGCAAGATAGCCGCAGTTGCGAGCAGGACGTAGCATACGCGCATTGTTAGCCGAAGTTGAATGACGGAAGTGATGGTAGTGGGGGGGCTGTGCGGAAGTGTTGCGAGTTTAAAAATGAACAGCAACACGTGCTACCGCCGGTAGCCTACCGGTACCAGTACATGTAAGCTATTGTCTGTTTTGAATACCATTCTAAGCCACACGACTCGTGTCGTAATACGACAAGAGTCATACGACAGTCGTATGACTCTTGTCACGCGTTATCTTTGCGATGGGGTCGGAGTGGTGCTACGATGGTGATGATGGCAGAACTGTCCTGCCTCAAGATTTGAGGACGCTGTGGACATTATCACCTGGTGGCCTGAACACTGTACCGTACCCTCATGGAAACCTCAAAGTGTGCTGCACCCCACCACGAACAGCTTTAGTATGGTTTGCATGAAGATCCCATTTTTCCCTGGGGCCGGCCATCGTTTCCAAAGCACAGCTTGGTGCGTAAACCTCACGAGTTCGCGCTGATTTTGTTCAGGCACAGCACGGTTTCTTCTCCCAGGTGGCAACTGCATCTGGATAAATAATAACTTTCTTATAACAAACCTCAGGCACTTGCCGATACGCTAGCTATGTTTTATCATACGAAAGTTTTCTGGTCACTCTGGATGAGTTCACTTTGTACCGGTACATGTACCCTTATGACAATGGACATTCCGGTACCATACAGTGCGGCCACCCAAGAAAAAAAATCCGGTATGTTCGGTATTGCAGCATCAGTACTATTGGAGCTCGAAGGAAAAGAAGCTGAAGACAGTTGAGACTTGATGATGCTGATGATGATAGAACCCCATCTCATGATAGTGAATGTTAAATTAGTTCTTAAGGGATGGAAAGCTTTCTACTGAGGAATATTCTTGCTTAGGGTTTAGCCTCCACGTTTTGGGTTTAGGTTTCAATGGGTTACTTAAATGCCCTATCATCTTTCGAGTCTGATAAATTTCCATACGGAAAGTTAAACTCAGTCCCATTTTCTTGCAAATCGTCTATACCCACTCCTAAAAAGTAGGTATTTTCTTTCGAGCTGCGAGCTGTTGAATACTTTATTAATAAAATAAAGCTGTGCCAGCACTCGCTGAGCTCGTCATTTTGGAGTGAGAAGTAGTTCACTATAAAGCCACTAGAATTCTAACCCGTTTAAAAGGCCCTACAGCCCGCGGTAGAGCTCGTCGATCTGCGACTGGAAGTAGGCCTTCAGCTGTGGCAGCTTCAGCTTGAATGTCGGCGTCACCAGGTCGTCATCCGACGTGAACTGCTTCGGGTGGAAGTGCACGTTCTTGACGCGCTCGAAGCCCCTCAGCTTCGCCTCTGCCGCCACACGTTCTATGTCCTCACGCACGTCCTTCTGGAACTCGGCATTCTGCAAGATCTCGCCCTTTGTGGCGTCTTCACCGCTCGATTCCTTGTGCTCCAGAGCCCACAGCTTAACCACCTCCGCGTCGGGCACTACGACACCAACCAAGCAGCTCTTCAACGAGTCTCCGTACACAAAGATCTGTGCCACGTACTTGCAAGTGGCTTACGCGTTCTCGATCTTCTCGGCCGCGACGTATTCGCCCTGTGCGAGCTTGAAGATGTTTTTCTTACGGTCAATGATACTGAGCGTACCGTCAGCATTCCAACAGCCAATGTCGCCAGTGTGGAACCATCCACGCTCCTTCTCGCGTCATCTCCGGGTTTTCGTAGTATTCCGTGAACATCTCGGGGCCTTTGACGAGGATCTCACCTCTTGGACGAGGTTTGTCGTGACTCGTGTAGCCCATTTCGGGCACGTCTTCCAGCTGAACTTGGCAGTACATGACCGGAGAGCCCACGTGCGACTCCGTCGGCATGTCAATGGCGCCCACACAAACTGCAGCAGCAGATTCACTCAGTCCGTAGCCTTCGACGACCTCGCAGCAGGAAATTGCCTGCATGAACTTCTTGACGTCGGCGCTCATAGGAGCTGAACCCGAGAAGATCAGACGCACGTTGCCGCCCAACGCCTGGCGAAGCTTGTTGAACACTAAACGGTCCCACAACGCGTGAGTTTTGCGCCCTTCCTCCACGCCAGCAAGTTTCGAGGCGATGGCCCTATCGAAAATCATCTTCTTGAGGCCCCCAGCAGCCTCAGCACCTTGCGTGATCTTGTCGTACACGCGGTTTACAAGTCGTGGTACCGTCACGAAGACTGTCGGCTGGAGCTCGCTAATGTCGTCCATCAGGAGACGCAGATCGCCCTGGTAGAAGCCTGCAGACGCACCATTCAGGTGCATTAACGCTAGCACTACACGCTCCAGTACGTGCACCAGCGGCAAGTACGAAATGTGACGATCCCACGGGTAAATTTTGAGTCGGTTGCTGGCTTGGCGTGCGGCGTACGTGAAGTTGCGCTGCAGCAGAACGACACCCTTCGGGTCACCTACAGTACCGGAAGTGTAGCAGAGCGTAGAGATGTCAGTTGGGAGTGGTGGATCTGCTGGATGCGGCTCTTGCTTGCCCTTCTCTTCGATCTCCTCGAACGTCTTGAGCTCGACGTCGTTGGCTGCAGCGAGGCGCCTCTGCTCGTCGGTAATGGCGTCAACCATGACGACGGTTTTCACTGACGGACAGTTCGAAATGCAGTTCATGATGACATCGAACTGCTTCGAGCCGCAGAATAAAACCTTCAAATCGGTGTGGTTGATCACAAAGGGTACGGCATTTGGGCCTAGAGTGTCGTACAGCGGCACCACGACGTAACTCATGCGGTCGCACGCGTGATTCGCAAGACACCACTCGACCTGGTTCTTGCAAAAGATGCCAACCTTGTCCTGCCGCTTGAGGCCAAGGATGGAAACCATACCGCTGGCGACATGATCCATGCGCGTCTTGACCTGGTTGTACGTGAACCACTCGTACGCTCCAGCCTTGCCTGTGCTGGGGTCGATAGTGCGCTGTCCGTAGCACGGCCGATTGCCGTCCTCGACGCTGCAGCCGATGAGGAAGTTGTGTGCAGCGTCATCTCGTCTTCGCTCACAGGTTCTTTGTCCGGGACCTCGTAGGCCGGGCCGTGATTGGCGTCACGTGTGTCGGGCACCTCGACGGTGTAGCGTTTGCCCGTGTAGGACTCAAAGTCCACGTCCGCCAGCGAACCGCTGGTGCTTTGTGCAGAGCCCATGCTTCAGGTGGCGAATGGATGGAAATGGATAGATTCTGTGGAGTTAATAACTTGGTGTTGCTTGGGAAATGAAGAATGACGAGCCGGGGATTGCTGCGTGGCCGGCGGTCGAGACACGCACGTGTGTACTACACGTTGTGGATACCGGTACATGTACTGTACATGTAGTACATGATGGAGGCGAAATCTTGGCGAAAGCTTACGCCCTGTGGTTAGTCGATTGTGGAAATTAAAATATACGGTACGCACTTCAAGTTGGATCTGCCATTGGCAGTGCCAAGTACTGTACTGTACATGTTCATCATACCAAGCAGAATACATGTAATACAATCATTGCTGAAAATACGGTGCTTCGGCGAACAGCTTACAGTGTACATGTACTGTAAAAGAAACGATGGATTATTTTCAGAATCCTTCGGTATTAAAAAGCCGAAGGGCTGCCATCATCACAGGGCTGGGCTGCTGTAACAGAAACCGTTGGTGGCAGGAGCAAAACTGTCACTTCTGTGCTGCCAACTATTAATACAAGGACGCCGAAACTGTATGAAGATCGACCCCATTTCCGCCGAAATTATCGGAAATGGGGTCGATCTTCATACTTCGAGAATTGCGTTGTGCCTCTTGTGCTACTGTTTTATTTCCTTCAATGGCAAGCATCCACGATCGAGTCACACCACCAAAGATCGCCTTACAGAGGTTAAATGTCGAGCCCCGTTCAGAACTCAGCTGCCAACCCCAGTTGATTAGTTCGGCGGACAAAACGGATTACAACCGTGACTCTTCGTTTTTTATACGGACGTTAATAGATGTAAAAAGAATACGTCGAAGAATTATGGGTGGCCCCCAATTATGGTTCTACAATTTGCTGAGCTACATTTACTTGTACATGCATTTCAGGCAAGTACTGTATGATCGAAGACGACAGTCTCACGAGTTTCAGATAGATTATCTGCAGAGGAATCACGCGTTACAAAAACTACAGCTGGATCGGTCGCTCTAGATTTTGTTTGTATCTGGTCGAAATTGTGCCCTTCTTCGCTTCGGTGATGCTGTACAGTACAAGCGAACGTTTATATCCATCAGCTCATAGAATGGTAATTTATCTAATGGTTTAAAAATGCAAACCTCGATACTAGACCGTTTAAAATGTTTTTAATCGGTATTTTAAAAAAATGGCTTAAAAAACGGTACGCTGGTGGACCTTATTACAGTACCAGTAATCAAAATTGTACCTGTTTAATAAATTGCTGATGGTCATTTTTGCTTTTGAAATAAATAGTAAGGATTCGATTTTTTTTGCGTGCATCATTGGCTTGTAGCCCGGCTACAAAAGCGCGAAAATACTTCCTGTTTCCTCCAGTACCTCGTAGCGACGCTCGCTGGTCACTCAAAATTGAAATTTTATCGCTCAAAGCTAAATACAGTAGCGTCGACAAACGGCCTTCTATTTGGGTATGTTTTATCCTATAAGCGTCGAAAGCTGACGTATAGTACAGTACACCAAACTTGAATTAACGTGGCGCACACAACGTCAACTCTCGAGGTTGCGGCCGTCGCGCAGTCTTCAAGATATCGGCTACCGCGCGTTGCCTTTCCTCTTCTCGTTTCTAACATGGGTGCAGGCAGCAGCTCCGAGCTTCCAATGAGCCAGACGGACTTTGATTCCTACACTGGCAAACGCTACACCGTCGAGGTGCCCAACACGCGCGATGCCACCCACGGTCCTGCCTACACTGTGCCCGACAAAGACCCGATCAACGAAGAGGAGATGACACTGTACCACAACTTCCTCGCCGGCTGCAACATCGAGAACGGCAACCGACCGCTCTACGGTCGCCGCGTCATTGACCCTGACACAGGCAAAGCCGGAGCCTACGAGTGGCTCACGTACAGCCAGATCAAGACGCGCATGGAGCGCGTGGCCAGCGGCCTGAAGGCTGTGGGTCACTTGAAGCGTCAAGACATGGTGGGGGTCTTCTCGAAGAATCAACTCGAATGGTGTCTAGTCTCCCACGCGTGCGACCGCATGAGCTACGTGCTTGTGCCGCTGTACGACACGCTGGGACCCGATGCAGTGCCCTTCATCGTCAACCACACCGACTTGAGGGTTTTGTTCTGCGGCGAGAAGCAGTTCGAGGTAGTCCTGGACTGTGTAGCCGCCTGCCCTTCCTTAAAGATCGTCATTCAGTTCGAACCCGTCACGGAGAAGCAGCTGCAACAGGCCACAGAGAAGAACATCGAGCTGCGGAGTCTCCACGAACTGGAGCTTCTGGGCGAGGCGGACCCGCAACCTGCCGACCCTCCACTGCCCACAGACGTGTCCACACTCTGCTATACTTCCGGAACCACAGGAGACCCCAAGGGAGTCATCTTACTGCAGAGGAACTACGCGTACGTGGTCCGACAGATGTGCAACCGGATGCACATTCTCCCCACGGACGTGCACTGCTCGTATCTGCCGCTAGCTCACGTGTTTGAGCGCGCTGTCTTGGGGGTTCTCCAGGCTCACGGCGCGTCTGCAGGCTTCTACCAGGGCGATCTGCTTCTGCTCATGGACGATCTAGCGGAGCTCAAGCCGACAGTCTTCGTCTCAGCGCCGAGACTGTTTAACCGCGTCTATGACAAGATCACACAGGGAGTGGCAGCTGCCGGAGGACTCAAGAAGATCCTGTTCGATCGTGCGCTTGCAGCTAAACTCGCGGGCCTTCCTGACGGTCACAAGACCCACGCGTTGTGGGACGCTTTGGTGTTTTTCAAGGTTCGCTTGGCTCTTGGTGGGCGTGTGCGTCTCATTTTCTCGGGCTCGGCGCCGCTGAGTGCGGAAGTGAAGGAGTTTATGAAGGTTGTCTTCTGCTGTGACGTCGCCGAGGGCTACGGACTGAGCGAGACGGCTGCTGCTGTGGCTGTGGGTGGTGTTGACATGCCCATGGGGCCGCACGTTGGAGCGCCTCTCATGTACGGACAAGTGCAGCTGGAGGACGTGCCTGAAATGGGCTACACGAGTCACGACAAGCCTCGTCCACGAGGAGAGATCTGTGTGCGCGGTCCTACGGTCTTCGCTGGGTACTACAAGGAGCCTGAGAAGACTCGAGAGGCTATGGATGACCGTGGGTGGTTCCACACAGGCGACATTGGCTGCTGGAATGCCGACGGTACACTCAGTATCATCGACCGGAAGAAGAACATCTTCAAGTTGGCTCAAGGTGAGTATGTCGCGGTAGAGAAGATCGAGAACATCTACGCCAAGAGCAAGTACGTGGCTCAGCTCTTCGCCTACGGTGACTCGCTTCAGAGTTGTCTGGTCGGTGTGCTGGTGCCTGATCCAGAAGTGGCGCAGGCTTGGGCCAAGGAGCATGGACTGAGTGGGGCGGATGCTTCCAGTGCGAGGGTGGTGAACAGCCCAGAGTTCCAGAAGGCGGTACGTGCAGACATGGCTCGAGTCGCCAAGGAGGCACAACTGCGCGGCTTTGAACTCGTCAAGAGCGTGCACTTCCACCCCGAGCCGTTCTCTCTGGAGCAAGGCCTGATCACCCCCACGTTCAAACTCAAGCGCCCCCAACTCAAGGCTTTCTTCCAGCAGCAGATCTATAAACTCTACGAAGGACTCAAGTGAAGGAAACAATTGGGGAGAGGAAGGCCAGTGCATATCTACGAAATCCTATCAGTAAAAATAGTAATCTGGTCTTGAACATGAACTCTACCTGTAGAAATATATTAATACGCGTGGTTTCATCGCTCTTTGACTCATCTCGACGCTGTCAAAGAAAACTTGATGGCGTCACTAGGAGTCGTCGCAGCTCCACCGGGACGAGGAAGCGGCCGACCCAAATCTGCCGGTATCTTCCCGTCTTCAAACCGCAAACTGGTTGCAGCTCGAACGTCGGACAACTCGAAGCCCAAATCTTCGCAACGTCCTCGGTCCAGTCGACACCCACGGCCTCCATCGACTTCAGTCGTCACCAGTCCAAGGCCACGACCATGCAACGTCTCGATGCAGCTATGGCGACAACCTGGACCTCAAGCGCCAACGCGTCATAACTCGGTAGTGCAGCGTGTGGTACGTGACGAGATCGACGAGCAGCGACAAGTGACGCTCGAGGCGCAGCGCCAACTTCATGAGCTACACGCCACGATCACTCGTCGCGAAGAAGAGCTTAGTCTTGCACAGCGACATCTTCACGCCTTCTCCTCAAGTACTGAAAGCGCTTCTCCATCGTCCAACGCGAAACCAGAAATCGTCTCGAATCTGAAACTCGAAATCGCACACCAAGACGCGTACAAGAAGCGTCTGCGCTACCTGCACGAGCGTCTGGAGCAGCAAGTCCGATACTTGGAGGCAAACGCGGATCTGCTGGCCGAGAGGAAGAGAGCGGCTCATCGAGAGCGAACGTTGTGTCGAAATCGCATCAAAGTTGAGTCCGACAAGAACCGACACACACAGCAGCAACTTTGTGCGCTACACGACAAGCGCGCGGGTTTCAAACGAAGCGCTCTTCCTATTATCGAGTCGTATCGAGATGAATTGGCTTCCCGGTTAGTGATCACTCAGAGACGAAACGATGCGGATCGTCGACGCGATGAACTCTTGAGGTTTATTGGCACTAGAGCGGACGGATCGAAAGTCACGAGTAGGTCACTGACAAGCGCCTCGGCTGCGATGACGAGGGGGCGAGTGGCAGGAAAAATGCAGCGGCGTGAGAGCTACAATGTGTTGGTGGACGATGCGGATGAAAACAGACGGGAGACGCTGTTTGCCGTCTACGAAGGACAGTACGCGCGTGTGCTACGTGAGACTGGAGAAGTGGATCTGAACGTGGTGCTGGATCGCTTTCAGTCGTACAGAGAGAGCACCGCTAGACTGCGCGAGATTGAGGCGGAATTACGGACTGAAAGCGCTCGGTTAGCGCGCGAGCAACAGGCGCATAACGCGTTGGCATCGCGTCTTCGAGTGTCGGGTCCTGGCGACATTACAGAACGCCGTCAGCGACTACGAGATCGCCTGGAAGGAGCTCTACACGCACAGCAACTAGACAAGAGTCAAGCTCGAGACCGTATGAACACACAGCTGAAGGCGTTCGCCTTTGCCCAACAAGGAGTGCTGCACATTGTGGAGCTGCTTCTTTGTCTTGACGAACGTCCCGGAGGGGTGATACCAGGTCAAGTGGCGGCGATAGCGCGTACAGTCATGGGAGGGTCTCACCCAGCCGAAGCAGCTCTGAAAAGTGTAGTGCCAGCACTACAAACGTTGTTGCACGTTGCTCGAGATGTAGGACGCCGTGGATTGCAACGCGAGTGGCTGAAACTAGCAGCGATCGACTACTCGGCGCCCCAAGTCGCTCGTCTGGAGCAGTTTGAGTTCGACTCGAATCAAAAGTCTAATAACGTTGGCATGAAGGAGACCAGGTCGGAATCTGACGAGGAAATTGAAGAAGAAATGCGAGACGCCGTCGTCATGAGAAGAGCGATTAAGAGACAGGAGAAGGAGACGCTGCGTCAAGCTGAGACGATCCTGCGTCAGACGTACGACGCCAGGAAGTTGCTTCAAATGCAGCAACTACATCAGCAGAGAAAACTTCAGTCCTCGACGCTACTACAGGAGAGATCGGACGTGGAGATCGTAGCCGCACACTTCCGCGAGCAGCGACGTATCGAGAAGCAAGAACAGCGTCTCACGACTGGAATCGCGCCATCTACTGGCCCGCTTCGCAACACAATGACTCCGTACACTGCAATCGCACCCGCAGCAACTCAAAGCCCAAGACGAAAACTGAACTGATTGATAAAAAGATTCAAGAAAGTGTGGCTGGTTTAATAGTTTATCCTCGGAAACAAGCGCGCATGAAGCGGTTGTAGTCGACGAGGCCGTCGTCACTGTCAAATACTCGAAGAACAGCCAGCAAACTCGTGTCTGTAATAGGCAGCGCGTACCACTCCAGCATCTGGCGGAAGTGGGCGGCGCTCACTCGACCAGAATTGTGCTTGTCCAGTGCTTTATACGACGCGTACACCTCTTTCCACTTGGCCTGAACACCAAGTCGTAGATCCTCGGGGATGTTCTCGCTTCCAGTAGCTTTGATCTTCATGGGAGATGCGAGCGATAAACTGGGTAACAAGTCCCCAGCTCCACTTCCATTGGCACTACATGTAGACCCGAGAGCACTCAGACAACTGGTGAGTTGGCGTAACATCGCGTGGTAATTGAGACGTCCATTCTGTTCCGCGTCGTATTTGAGTTGCAGACGGACGATTTCTTCGTGATCCAGCTCGATACCGAGCTCCCCCAGGACTTTACGCAGCGAGGAAGGCGTCACACTACCTCGACGCTCGGTGTCAAGAGCCTGAAGTCTACGTGTGAGCAGCTTCCACGCCGTTTTCCCTTGCGTTTGAAGAGCTTTTTGAAGCTTCTGCTCCACTGCAGCGGCTCCGGCGGTGGTTCCAATACCGACGTTTAGAGCCGCTCGAGAGTTCTCCACGGCGTGATTTACAGCTTGAGCCGCCAGGACGTGGCCCGCTCGACTGGTCAGTTGTCTAGAAGCCACAATTGCAGCTGGAGAGCGACGCACAGCTCGAGGGCTGATCCCCACTGCACTATAGTACGAACAGTGACTCGATAGATCACTCATACACGAGTCCTTGCCCACTTTATCCGGATCCTTCCCACCCAAAGCATGAAGCAGCTGCAGATACTTGACTTGGCCTGTTGTTCGCTCGCCTTGTTCGTCTTCTTCTTCGTAGAAACTCAGTAGCTCATGGACTACCGCACCATCTTGAAGACTTACTCCCAGTCGCTCAAAAGCACGTCGTAGCTCCGGATACGTCAGTAAACCAGAGCTGCTAGGGTCCATATTCGCCAGAAGCTTGTACACGGCGCCTTGCTGCGAGCGAGAGCTTGTCATTAGGTGTCGGATCGCTGCACGCGCCTCATGGACATCTAAGAGATTGTCTTTCTGGGTGGAGTCCACCTTGAAGCTGTCTCGTTCTTCGTCTTCATCATCTTCTTGAACCACAAGCGACTGAGCTTGAAGACCAACTTTAGCGTCCATATCCAGCAAGAAGCCACGGTAGTAGAACTGACCTCCACGTGCGATATACCTCGATAAGAGCTTGGCCGTTGCTCGTGATTCTTTCCACGTCGCGCCCACTTCGGAGCTCAGCTTGGCGCATATTCGAGTGAACACGGGGAGGCTGACAAAGCCGCGGTTTTCCGAGTCCTCGGCCGCAAGCATCCGTTCCAAGTCATCGACCTTCGCTCGGAAGAACAGACGCAGTTGCTCCAATTCCGTGTTAAGGTCGGACTCAGTTTCTCCAAGTGACGGTCCGTTCGACACCAAAGCTGCTTTACTTCTGGCTTGAGGTTTACCACTCTCTTCCCTGGGATCCGTCGATTCAAGTCCAGGATCCTCGTAGTCTGTTAGGAAGGACGCGTATCGGATCAATGGAGAATCCGTAGCGATACTGCGGTCTTCGTAGAAGTAGCAGAGGAACGCAGTCTGAGCTTCTGTCAAGGACAACGCGTCGCGTACTGCGAGTGCAAAAGCCGGCGTCGATACTCGCCCTTGCCGACGTGGATCACACGCCGCGAGACGATCGTGAAGCGCTCTCCACTCCACTGCGCCGAGACGAGCTCTTGCTACTCGTACGCTCCACACGAGCACTAGAGACTCAGTCGGTGCAGTCGCTTGCTGACTATGCTGGAGACCAACAGCAATCGCACCCCGTGCACCGTCACCCTGAAGTGGAGCAGCAAAGAAACTCTCGGTGTCCACTACGCGCGGTCTGTAGCTCTTAACGAGCGAGCGGTAGTCCATGAGTTGATGTGCGTGAGATCCACAAGCACGAAAGAGAGAGCCGAAATGTCGAGACGGCAACGGGCCAAGGTGTTTACTCAGTACACGAAGTAGTTCAGCTGCAGGCACGAGTCCGCTTTTGTGTGGATCGCTGAGCTCTAACTCCACGTGAATCGCTCGCCAACTTGCATCGGGTAAGCGTGAAAACGCTTCTTTTAGTTCATTTCCAGGCGACGAGAGCGCCACGCGGTTCTTGCACGCTCCTTTGACGTCTTTGTGCCCCGGGAAGACCAGTGAGCTGTTCTCCTGTAAGCTGCGCCTCATCGTTTCTATCCCTCTTGGATGCGCCACATCTCCAAAGTTGGTCACGAATTTGTGATAGTCGACGTTTTCTCTATTATCTCCATCCACAGCAGCGTACAGCACAGTAGCAGCGTCTTCTTCAGACTCGACGAGACGGAGATCTCGCAGTGCTTGGGTGAAAACAAGGGCAGGAACGAAGCCAGAATCAGACGGGTCAAGAGCACTGAAAGCGCTCAAAGCCTCGTCAGTTCGTGCCTTGAGCCGATTTCCTATAACAATTCGAAGTTGTTCAAGCAGGACGGGGTCTTTCCTCGTCTCGGAGAGTTTGTTGGACTTTTTACTGGAGGTTTTCTTCGGTGACTGGCCTCCCAAAGCACTGGTGACCCCAAAAGACTGTAGCGTCTTGTTGGTAGCCGTGACGTTGTTAGCTCCAGTACCAATTACGACCTCAGCGATCGGTTTACCAGCCGGTCGATCGAATACCAACGAGTTGCTTACATTGTTGGTATCGCCGTGCTGGAAGCTACTTCCGAACTGGGCGAGGAATTCGTGATAGTCGATATTAGACCCGTCCTGTGAAAGTTCCTCCAAAGCTGCAGGTGGCAATGGAGGGATATTGAGGCTTGCCAGCACACGCGCGAACGTGGTTTTAGACAGCTTTCCAGAGCCAGTAACACTGGTTTCTGCTGTTCGACAAGCGTCTCGCACAGCAGTCCAAGAAACGCGTAAATTGGCACCTAACAGCGTTCGAATTTCGCCAACGAGTTGTGAATGACGCGCACTCAATCGTGATAAATGTTCGACAAGTTGTGGTTTCTTTACGAGCGTTCGACCGGCAGCACCTGCTACTAGACCACTGCTTCCATTCGGACGGCCCGTGTCGCCCGTACCCGTCACGGGACCTCGACAGGACCGGGCGAGTTCATCCACGAAATCAACGTAGCTAAGCCCTCGCTCGTTGTTCTCTTCGAACTCATGACGGAGCGCTTGAGCCTCTGCACGGGTGATGACGATGCCGTGAGCGGCAAACACGTCACCCAAATGGGCGAGCGAGAGGGTTTCACGCGCCGTCGCGAGCTGGAAATTGGTCCCTAGATTGCGAATGTCACCACTCAAGATCAGCGGCTTCTTCCGCATTGTCGGGGGAATGGGCGACTCGGCTGGTCGAATCACCGCTTGAGCTTTGGCATCGCCGGACGAGAATTTGATGGGAGACGCGCAGAGCAAATACGTCCGACCACCTCGAGCTGCCGGCGCCGACGGCTTGACGGGCCGCGGCGTCACGGACGGTGCCAAGTTACTCTGCATCGTCAAAGTCGCCTATGAAACGCAAGTGAACGAGACCTGGAGGTAGAATGACAAGCCCGGGAATATCAGCGCTATATCAAGCGACCATCAATGAAGTATCCGCTATTCCTGGGCTTTATTTACAGGTAGGATTATATTTACATACGAACACGGGTACCAGAGAGGTTCAGTTGGTTGTCTTCTAGTCCTTCGATGGAGTCCAAGTTGCGGGTTTGACCAGCTTCACTTCCCGGAGTCGAGCCAAGAAGCCCGTCATTAAAGGTGCTATGCAGTCGCAACGCTCTTACGAACGTGTCGAAACTCGGTTTGAAGCCCATGCCGTTCGTCATGAAGTGGAACAGCTCGCTGCGCACCAACGTGTAGCGTTTGTCCAACCCTGGATCCATGTCGTTTAAGACCACAGGGAAGATTGGTCGATTTTTTGTCCTCGGCGAACGCTAGTTGGTCACGTACCAGTTCGTTCCCCATGGTTTGTCTCGATATCAGCACCACGAAGCACGAACAGCGCAAAATGGCTTGCTGGGCGACCTGAATGCGCGTGTAGAGGTCTCGTCCGATGACGTTTAGGTCGCTGTAACAAGGAATTCCGGCTTCCAGGAGCTGTGCTGTGAACTGCTGTACGAACGTCTCGTGCTTGTCGCCATGCGAGAGGAAGATGAATTGACCCTCGTTCATGTCGTCTGGATTGGTGACGTTAGTTCGGCTGGGATCCCGTGAAGCGGTGGAGAGCTCCATGTCACTCAATGTCTGTAGCATCGTGCCTCGGTTGCTGCGCTCTCCGTCCAAATCCTGGGCCAGACGGCGACTACGAGACAAATTATTCTGCTTGGTAACGAAGCGGTGCTTTTCAACTTCGTCACGCACGCAGTCCAAAAGCAAGCGGAACTGAGATCGATATCTGGTTTCATCGTAGTCGTACTCGATCCTGCCTCCATCGCGACGGAGACCCACGATAGCAGGCTCGAATGGGACGATCTGTCGCGTGTACAAGTACACTTGCAAGTTCTCATCGACGATGGCGCCTTCAGTCGAGACAGCCAAGATGGGAGTCCCCACCTGTTTCGCCTGTGCCAGCTCCTTCAGACACCACTCGGACGACGCGTAGTCTTCAGTCAAGATACACAACACTACCGACGCGTTGGTGATCCCTCGAGCGATCTCCTCACGCCACACAGCTCCGCCACCAATGCCGCTGGGGTCCATCAGATCTAACCACGTTGTCACGTTCGCTTCCTCCAGAGACTGACGCAGCTTTCGAGCAAACGCCAAGTGCGAGTGTGTGTAGCTAATCATGACGTCTCGTTGACCGGCAGCTCGCTTCAACTCGAACAATAACCTGGTGGACGCAGTGCAGTCCAGTGACCGTAGCCCTTCGTTATTCATCCGCATGAGATCTCCACCTGACGCCAACACAGCCAGCGCAGACGCCTCATTCTCCTCACGGACGGCAACGTGTAGCGCCGTGTCACCTGTCGTTGGTAGTTGATAGCCAACGCAGCTGTGAGTTCACTGACGAGTTCTCATGACGCATCCAACGCGGAGGCAGCACACATCAGTCGCGTCTGTTGACGTATACGCTCCTCTACTTCAACATAGTGCACTCTCAGCCTTTAGTCCAGTCTAATTCATCAATTCACTTTCCAATTCCCCACCAAGACAACAGGTTAACAGCCGCATCGACACTCCCACATTATGGCGAACTTAGGAGACAGAGAACCGGACCCAGAACTCCCAACCTCCAAGAAGCACAGCACGAAGCTGGTGAAAATTGATAACTTCACCGGTGAAGTTAAAGAAGGTTTCCTCGACGCTGGTGCCGGCGACTGGATCAAGCGCCTCAAGATCTAGATTCGACTTGGAGAAATGGTGGACGAGGCAGCTTGGCCCGACAGCATCAAGATGATGGTCGTGGCTGCACACTTAGGAGGTGCTGCATCGACGTGGCTCATACGACGCTTTGATATGCTCCAAGGTGTGTCTTTCGATGCCCTGTGCATCGCGATTCGCGAGCAGTTCCGCTGCCCGCTTGATCGCCTCGAGATCAGCTCCACCTTAGGCAGAACCATCAAGAAGGCCAACGAGTCCTACGCCGATTTTGCCCATCGCTTAAGCACCATAGCTGCTACGATGAACGACGGTGAAGAGACCAAAGCGACTGCAGAAGACGCGCTATCACCGTTCATCAAGAAAGCGTGGCCGCAGCATCGTGCTTCTCTACTCAGCTGCATTAAAACGCAGTCGAACAATCCCTGGCATGAAATGGAGGAAGCCGTAAAGTACCTCGCAAAGATTGCTGGCCATGATGGGAGAAGACAACTGTCCAGCGCACCCCCCAATTTTCCGCGCGACAAAGTGGGGAGAATGAAGCGAAATGACCATAGTCCTTCTGAGCTCAGTGGCCGTCGGTCCAAGGCACCGCGACGCGACTACTCAAACGCCGTGTGCGGCGTCTGCCAACGGCGAGGCCACACCACAGGATACCACGACCAGTGGTCCACCAGACAAGGCACCGTGGTGCAAGCCCGCCTGGCCAGAATCGCTACCACAGTCACGAAAAATCATGAAGAGGGAAAATCACAGCAAGCTCCAGATCCGGGCGCTGCAGAGCCCGTCGAGGACCACGACTGGGAGGACCACGAATGAAGACCACGGGCACTGCTGGGGAGAGAGCACTTTATAACTGACCCAGGTATACCCAACAGTGCCCCTGTGATCGACTCAGGTGCGTCTTTCCACATGGGAAGCTGCGCGGACATTCACGACGCCGAACCGTGCGGCGAACACGTTATCCAGGTGGCGGACGAGCGCACATTAATTGCAACCGCACGTGGCAGCCTGCGACTGGACAACGGCACCGTTCTCCACGATGTCGTAGTCGTGCCAGGAATAACCCGCACACTCATCTCAGTGGCGGCATTGTTTAAAGACGGCATGCACGTAAGCTTCAGTGGGCACAAGTGTGAAGTATTCGGGAGACTGCTCTTCTCTGGAGTGGTTCGAGGTGGTATTTACGAGCTGCAAGGAGGCACCAGCCGGTCGGCGGCAGCATCTGCACTGGTCGCCCAAGCGCCGAAATACAGCTTAAGGCACTACTCTATCCTGGAGCTGGAGAACTCGGGCAAGGTGAAGGGTCTAAAAATAGTTGGCCCTCGTGTACTTAACGACAAATGCGAGGCGTGTGCATTAAGCAAGTTAACGGCTCGCTCCGCGCTTAAGAAAGCAACTCGCCCTCAACTCTCCAAAGACGAGGTGTGCCACGCAGATCTCGCTGGCCCAATGCAGAGAAGTATCCACGGTAATCATTACTTCCTCGCTCTGAAGTGGATTGGATTTACTTCCTACGAAACAAGTCAGACGCTGCTGCAGCTTTTGAGGATTACCTTGCAATCGTCAACCGCCGGTCCGACAATCAGCCACATTTAATCAAGGTCCTGAGGTCAGACAATGGAGGAGAGTTCGAGGGTACGGCCTTCCAAAGTGTGTGCTCAGCGGCCGGTATAGAGCGTGAATACTCAGAGCCCCATGCTCACTACCAGAACGGGGTGGTGGAACGCGCAAATCGGACGATCTCGGAGACGGCAAGAACGCTTTTAGTACATTCCGGGTTGCCTCACAACCTCTGGGAGTACGCTGCCCGCCATGCAGTATACGTCCGAAACCGAGTCCTTTCCCGCAGCTATCCAAATGCAACTCCGTATGAGCGCTATTATGGCCACGCTCCCGATGTCAGCCAGCTTCACGTCTTCGGAGAGCGCGTTGTGGCGAAGATCCCTCGCTCAAAGAGAAATACTCGATACAAGTTTAGAGAGCGAGGCAAGGCCGGTGTATTCATCGGGCACGACAATGAGCGCAAAGGTTACTTCATATACTTTAGTGCCGGTGGCCCACGCATTCAGCGGACGTGCGACGTCGTCTTCATGCAAACCTTTCCCACATTTGCTGAAAACCCTCCAGACACTACTTTACGTACGTTCATCGAGCCACTTAGAGCTGAGACGGATTCGCGGGGAATGCAAGCAGCGAAACCCACCGCGGCAGTGCCAGCATTACGAGGAAGCCGCCCCATGAGGCCTGCTGTAATCGAAACCTTTGCACGGGGAAGCCGCCTTACTGGGCCTACTGTGACCGATACTCTCACACGGGGAAGCCGCCTTACGGGGCCTGCTGTGACCGAACCTTCAATACGGGGAAGCCGCCCCACAAGGCCTGCTGTGACCGACCCACAATCTGCAGGTGGACCTCAAAGAGCCCTTGAAGATAGCGACTTAAGCCCAGCTCCGCACGTCGTCAGAAATGCAGACGATCTGACTAACGCTGCTGTCGAACAAATTAACGGAACCTCCGAGCTTACCAGACGTCGACGGTCAGAGCGAATATCAAGTCGACTCATCGGCCACGCTCTTGCAGTCCTGTGTGAAGTTGTAAAAGAACCAATCACCCTAGCCGAGGCGAGAAGATCGCCAAACTGGCCTTTATGGGAGACCGCCATCAGGGAGGAGATCGAGTCGCTGCGAGCCAACAACACCTTCGACGTCGTCACTCCTCCGGCTGGTGCCCACGTCATCGGCTGCACGGTAAAGTTCCGGGTGAAGCGCGACGGCAATTGCAACGTCGACCGGCTGCGCGCCAGACTCTGTGCTCAAGGCTTCTCTCAAGTGTTTCTCGTCGATTATGGTGAAACCTACTCGCCTGTGGCCCGCCTAGTTTCGGTACGGATCTTCCTCGCCCTCGCCACGAGATTCGGACTTCGCGTGTGCCAATGCGATGTACCGTCCGCGTACGTGAAGGCACCGCTGGATACCGTAATCTATATGCGCCAGCTCCGCGGCTTCGAGATAGGCGAGCCAGGAACGGTGTGGCGACTGAAGAAGGCGCTATATGGCCTCAAGCAAGCTGGAAAGGAGTGGCATGACGAGATAAATGCGTTCTTCATTGACTACGGATTCAGTGCTACCCGCGAAGACGCATGCGTATATGTCCTCCCTGACAACTCCGTGATGGTCCTCCTTTACGTGGACGACATCTTCATTGGATACTCAGACCAAGTGGCCATGTCGAAGCTAGTCGAGGCCCTGCGCGCCAAGTATGACGTGAAGTACCTGGGAGACATCACTTGGTTCCTCGGCATGCGCATCAAGGTCGACACCGAGGCCAACACCACGACGATCGACCAGTTCCAGTTCGCAACGGAGATCCTACAGCGTTTTGCGATGGAGAACTGCAAGCCATCCGTCCTTCCCCTAAATTCAGGTTTCTTAACTTCGGGCGACGAGAAGGACGAATTGGCAGACCATAATCCCTACCGAGCCGCGGTAGGCGCCCTGCTGTACCTGAGTAGAGTTTCTCGACCAGATATATCTTTCGCAGTCAATCAAGTGGCTGCGCACGTGAATCGACCGACGGTCTCGCACTGGACTGCCGTCAAGCAGATCTTGCGGTACGTTGCAGGTACCCTACACATGGCATTGGTCTACAAACAAGACGAAAGTGCTAAGCCAGTAGAGTTGTTCACCGACGCAGACTGGGCAAATAACACCGAGGACCGAAAATCTATCAGTGGCGTCGTCGTGCGAGTATACGGTTGTGCAGTCGCTTGGGTAACTCGGCGCCAGAGTGTTGTAGCGAAGTCGTCAACAGCTGCCGAGTTCATCGCAGCCTCGATCGGAGTTGAGGAAGCCCGATGGACACGCATGCTGTTACAGTCCTTATCTGGAAGAGCCGCCACTGCCATCGCTGCCCGCGTTGACAATCAATCCACGATAGCTCGGATCGTGAACGGTAAAAGCTCTGAAGCGCAGAAGACGGTGGACTGCATGTTTTTTTGATATGAAAGATGCTTTCAAGCGAGGCGAGGTGGTCATCACTTACTGCCCTACTGAGGAAATGGTTGCCGACTTCTTGACAAAAGCTCTCAATCGGCTGCGACTCAAGAAAATGCTGGAGCTCATCGGTCTGCAAGACATCAAAAGGTAGGCAGTGTCGGTGCACATGTTGCGGGGAAGTGTTGACGTATACGCTCCTCTACTTCAACATAGTGCACTCTCAGCCTTTAGTCCAGTCTAATTCATCAATTCACTTTCCAATTCCCCACCAAGACAACAGCGTCATGAACTCCCCGTCGGCCAAGTTCGGGTCTGCGTTGGCTCGAAGCAGCCTCCAACTTGTTGAGCTTCGCCGCCCAATGCAACGGTGACCGACCACGCACATCCTGGAAGTTCGGGTCAGCTCCTCCTTCCAACAAGGCGTCCACAGCGTCTGTGGCTCCACTGATAGCAGCCCAGTGCAGTGGTGTCCGTCGGTTGACTCCCACGTAGCCCATTTCCCCCAGACAGTCCACATCTGTCTTCCGTGCGATGAATTTGCGTATAGCTGCCACATCGTTGCGAGCGGCAGCCAAGTGTAATGGCGTGAGAGCGACGTCGCTTCGCCATTCTTCTAGTTTCTGTGCCACGGCTGAGTTGCCTCGAATATACGCCAATTGAAGTGGCGTCATGGTGTTCATGGCGCCTGGATCAGGGATCACAAGCGGGTCGGCGCCGTGCAACAGCAGCTCGCGAGCGACTTCTACGTGTTCAGCTAGAAACAGTGGGGGCACGCGGTTGGATCGGAACGAGGCTTGAGCCAGGGTTCCCGGCGGTACTCTTCGCTCGAGTAGCCATCGTACCGTTTCCAGTTGTCCCGTGGCGACAGCACAATGGAGTGGCGTGACGAGCGTTGAGTGGAAGATCGACACTGACTTGTCATCGTCGCTATTACTCGGACGTTTGGCTAAGAATCGAAAGAAGTACGAGAAGAAACTTCCTGTCGAGAACCGCACGCGTCCAAACTTGTCCAGAGCCGCCAGGTCGAAGCCGTACTCTTCCAGAAGTTCCAGTGCGCGGGTGTTACCGTGGTAGGCGGCTACGTGCACGGGATTTCGCAAAGAACTTGAGTCGGATCTTGGGGGCCGCGTAGTAGTTTCGAGGATATATCGTCGGTAGTCCTGCCTTGTTGGCGTACTCGAGTACTTGTCGCATCTCATTAAGATCACCTCGACACGTGGCATGAAAGAGTCGGGTGCGAACGACAGCCATCACTTCCCGGGTAGAGCTGGAATTGTCGAGGGAATTGACTGCTGCCTGTCGTTTGAAGTTACTGGCGTGGTCGCTTTCCTGGAAGGCTCCGATTTGCATCATGATGTGGTTTCGATACCGAGCAAGTAGTAGAGCACCACAAACAGCCCCGAGTAACAAGCGACAGCTCCAAGTGCGAGCATTTGCGGCACGAAGCTGTTGCAAGAGATGGACTCAATTAGGGAACCAGGGATGAACGTGACAGAGGTGACCTCGTGGAGTAGAACAAACACCGCCAATAACTCTGTCAATTGGAACACGAGGCCGCGCTTCAGAGGAGGCTGTGAGAGCATGGAGGAACTACCCTCTTCTCCCAGCTGCGCAACGCCAGCGCCACGATTTCCGTAGGCAGCAGGCTGTGAACTCTTCTTGAACGGCTCAAACCAACTCAAACCGGACACAGGCAAAAGCAGCACGATCACGAAAGGCAACGTCTTGTAGATAGAAAGCGAAAGCGTCACCATCGTGTTACAGCTACGCTCTGTGTCAAAGTGCAACATGCTATGGTCGAGGAGTCCGGCTGTTAGACCCAGCGAAAGCATCAGCCCGGAGCACAGGAGTCGACCCGCAAAAAAGGAATTGCTGACGATCTGAAGCCAGCGCCATTGGAACGGAAACGTCCACAACTGACTGCGCCACCGCATATTTATTCCTGACCGGTGTGGCCGACAGGGAGGTCGACACGGGGAGTGTGCGTTGTGGTAACAGGTCTTCGACATGAAGTCTTGGAGTTGGTCTTACTTCAAAAGTAATACTGACTGGCAGTCGGTGGCCGCGACTAGCAGCAGCTGAAGGGTGTACTAGTCACCTACGTGACCAAATGACTCAATGAGTAAGAGTCAGACGAGGGTTGCCGAACAAAAACAGATGAAGCCGCGGTAAGTTAAACGCTCTCCAGTCTGGTCCAAGACTGCAGTACCGTACATGTATTAAAATATAAAATTGTTCCATACACTTGTCCTTTTTAATGTAATTCAACGTGAAAGCCAATGGCTATTAGCCATGTTGCACCGCCGAGTTTCTAGTGCTTACCCGTCACGGACTTCGCTCTGGAGTTGTTCCGCCACCGTGACTCAAAGGACCGGGCCTGGGCGGGCGGAGACAGCGATTGGTAGGCTACGGCGCAGTGCGCCGCGCACCTCGGCCGTCTCACCAGTGTTGATGAACTGAGCTGAGAGTCTCAGCGAAGTTCATCAACATTTGGGCACAATCCGTCAAATCGGAGACGTAATCCAATCCTGTAATCCTCGCTTCAAGGACTTTCTCTCTGTAGCTGAACTATTCTACCTCCTTTATCCTATCCTCGCTTCAACGTCCTCCCTGAATAAGAGCCAAAAGCACGAGCGATTTGCTGTCTGCACACTCCATCTGCCACCGTACAGTAAAGTGATCCACTTACACACTTGTCTGCTTAATGACCGAGGCGATCGTTGCCACTGAAACCAGTCGACGGCCTCATTCCGGCGGCCATGGAGCTGCTCGTGAACCGGATGAACATGTCGCCACCTCCTCTCGACGTATTCGTCGGTCACCGCTCGTTGTAGACGACAGTTCCAGCGTCACGTCACACTCAACGTACCATATCGCACAGTCGCCCACCGATCGACCAATTTGGCTGGAAATGAAGCGGAGGCATCAGGCCAACATGGAAGAACTGCACGGCAAACTCGCAGACGTGCCGCGGCATTGGCTTTTCATCCGGTTCCTCAATAATTCGTTCTTCGCGCGTCGACTTATGCGGTCTGGGATGCTACTGTCAGCCGCTCTAGTAGGCGGCGTCATCTTCCACAGCGCGTTCATCGAGACGTGGCTGGACGACAACAGAGACTTGGACGACTACGACGACTGCAACTCTCTGGCCGCGTTCTCCAATCTCATCTACCAGGCGCTCCCGGCCGCCATCATTCTGTCGCTGCCAGGCTCGGGCCTTCGTGCGTTTGAGCCTTTCAAACGCACCGCCTTGAACTCTCGACAGCCGAAAGGTACGAGCGACAACGGCAGCGACAGTGACGCAACGCTAGAGGAAGAGCCCCAGGCCGCTAGTGTGGCGACCATCCGACGCAGCTTCGTGTTCCAGCTATGCGAGGTGTTGGCTGTGTTTATGCTGTTTTTCGACATCGGACTGGTGCTGTATTTCCTCTACGTGCTCTTTATCGGCGCGCTCAGCTCGTGCGGAAGTGTCGCCACGCAGATATTCACGATAGGCGCTGCGTTCTGCTACTTTGGGCTGTTTACAGTCTTGTATTACTTCGCACGGTACCGGGAGCACATCAAGATGCAGCTAGGAGCCTTTGCGGAGAACGACCAGACCGGAGACTTGAGGAAAGACGTGGACCTGCGCTCGGATAAAAAGCTCAACACAGCGAAAAAGAGGTTGGATGTTATCCAGACGCGACTGTATCACGCCACAAGACGAGGAGACGTCAATGAAATGCGCGAGATTCTCGAGTTCGCCAAGGAGAGAGGCCTGATGAACAGCGAGATCGGATTCCCTCGCAAGTTTTACGCGCCTCCGAAGATTAGATGGAAGTTCTTTGCGAGGTCCACCGAGAATCCCGTGCATATCGCGGCAGGACTCGGGAATATCCGAGCGTTGGGACTGTTGGAGGAGTTCGGATTCGACCTCACCGTGCTGGATAAAGTGCAGCGTTGTGTGATCTCGACTGGGGGATTCTTCTGGCACTTTATTCAACTAATCGTCAAGAGACCTGAAGGTAGCGACGCGGAATCGGCCGACTCGATCTTCCACACGAACCTCCACACGCCTCTGCACTGCGCGGTAGCGACGGGACAATTGGGAGCGGTTCGCTGGTTACTGGAGCGGGGAGTTCCCCCCAGTACGCTCACCAAAGCTTCGTTCAGGTCGAACCGGATACCTCCACTCTTCCTGGCCGAACACGCTGATATCGCTCGAGAATTATTGCTACATGGCGCTGACCCACTGGTGATCCCTGATCCAGGATTTATGAACACTTTGACTCCGTTGCAACTCGCATACGTTCGTGGTAACTACGCTGTGGCGCATGAACTGGAAGAATGGGGAAGCGACGTCGCTCTCACGCCATTTCACTTGGCTGCTGCTCGCAACGATGTGGCAGCTATTCGCAAATTCATCGCACGGAAGACAGATGTGGACTGTCTGGGGGAAATGGGCTACGTGGGAGTCAACCGAAGGACACCACTGCACTGGGCTGCTATCAGTGGAGCCACAGACGCTGTGGACGCCTTGTTGGAAGGAGGAGCCGACCCGAACTTCCAGGATGTGCGTGGTCGGTCGCCGTTGCATTGGGCGGCGAAGCTCAACAAGTTGGAGGTGGTTCGCTCTCTGCTTCGAGCCAACGCAGACCCGAACTTGGCCGACGGGGAGTTCATGACGCCACTGATGTGTGCTGCCTCCGCGTTGGATGCGTCACGAGAACTCGTCAGTGAGCTCACAGCTGCAGGAGGCGACATTGGCTATCAACTACCAACGACAGGTGACACGGCGCTACACGTTGCCGTCCGTGAGGAGAATGAGGCGTCTGCGCTGGCTGTGTTGGCGTCAGGTGGAGATCTCATGCGAATGAATAACGAAGGGCTACGACCACTGGACTGCACTGCGTCCACCAGGTTATTGTTCGAGTTGAAGCGAGCTGCCGGTCAACGAGACGTCATGATTAGCTACACACACTCGCACTTGGCGTTTGCTCGAAAGCTGCGTCAGTCTCTGGAGGAAGCGAACGTGACAACGTGGTTAGATCTGATGGACCCCAGCGGCATTGGTGGCGGAGCTGTGTGGCGTGAGGAGATCGCTCGAGGGATCACCAACGCGTCGGTAGTGTTGTGTATCTTGACTGAAGACTACGCGTCGTCCGAGTGGTGTCTGAAGGAGCTGGCACTGGCGAAACAGGTGGGGACTCCCATCTTGGCTGTCTCGACTGAAGGCGCCATCGTCGATGAGAACTTGCAAGTGTATTTGTACACGCGACAGATCGTCCCATTCGAGCCTGCTATCGTGGGTCTCCGTCGCGATGGAGGCAGGATCGACTACGACTACGATGAAACCAGATATCGATCTCAGTTCTACCTTTTACTGGATGGTGTTCGCGATGAGGTCGAGAAGCACCGATTCAGTACAAGGCAAAAGAACGTGGCCAGCAGCCGTCTGTCGGCGCTTATTGGGGACGATGGGGCTGCAGTGCGAAGCAATCGAGGAACGATGATGCATACGTTAAGTGCCACCGATCTCTCGCAGGCATCAGATACGTGGAACCCGACTGCATCCAGTCCAAGTGATTGGCAGGAGCAACTGTTCGTCTTCCTCTCACATGGAGACAAGCACACCGCCTTCGTACGTCAACTTTCCTTCCAGCTGTCACAGGCGGGCATCCCTTGCTACAGCGACCAAAACGTCACTGGACAAGACTTCTACACACGAATCCAAGTGGCTCAAGAGACAATCCTGCGGTGTTCGTGCTTTGTCGTGTTGGTATCTAGGCAGACGATGGCGAACGAGCTGGTGCGGGACCAACTAGCGTTTGCCGAAGATAAAGGACGACCAATCTTCCCTGTGGTGCTGAACGACCTGGAGCCTGGACTGGACAAGCGATACACTCTTGTGCGAAGCGAGCTATTCCACTTCATGGCCAACGGAATGGGCCTCAAGTCGAGCTCCAACAAGCTGATCAACGAGCTTCGTCGATATTGTAACGCTATCCAGCCAGCTGGATCGGTCACTGGTAGCGAGACGGAGGAAACACGTAATTTGGATTCTATCGATGGACTCGAGGACGACCAAGTTGATCTTTCGAGTACTTGCGTTAGGATGTAGGAAACCTTTGTTAGAAAAGTATTGAACTGAAATACAGATAGTTATTATAATATATGCGGTCCAGATGACTTTCATTTGCCTCAAAGCGCAAAACGTCGGATATGAATATTACGTGGCCTTCTCAATTTATCCCCTATTAAAACAAATAATAAAAAAGGAATTATAAAAGAAGTACTATTGTATAATGCAAAATATTAGAATACAGAAAAGGAAGAAAAAGTAAAACACCAAAACACGCGACATAGAAATAGTGGCATACATGTTTGAATATTTATATACGAGTATGTGAGCATCGTTGCTTTGGGGGCGACGCAAACCGGTATTATCACCGGTCCAACGACGCCCCCTCTCTCCTCAAATCAAATCAATCTGCCCTTACAAACATCAAGTCATTTACATGGAAACATTTACACGAATCCTTCGCCAGAGAGAAGCAAAGGGAATACCAGGTTAGTCGCGGGTGTTCAGTTGATGAAGATTGCAATACTGATTGTTAGGTTTATGCGTGCAGGTCTCTCGGCTCGCAACGGACAGCTATTAATACATGCCATGTGCAAGACCCATCGTCGGCAAGCTCGCGTGAGTAAAAAGCATCGGCGTGGCTTGAACTCCTCAGCACCAGGTCCGCGTCATGATCACGCGTCAGATGTCGGAATTGATAATGTATCAGCAGCACCTTCTAGCGAGCCCACAGTTACTTCGACGCACCACTGTCCAGAGAATTTATGTAAGCATCCGAGTCGATGTGTCGAAGTGCGGGCTATAAAGAAAAATGGAGGGCTCCACTGGCTATGCGAGCAGCACCGCCAGCTGCAGAATGCAGAACAGTGCCAACGATACCAGCGCCGGAAGGTATTTGCCAATTCACGGAAAACAACGGAACAAGATCTACACAGCGTTGATTCTTCTAGTGCAAAGGCAACGCCACGTGATTCTCCATCTCACAAGTCTCAGTATCGTGCAAGTAACAATATAACGACTGATGAAGTCGTGGTTCCGACAGTTGCGCAGTCTGGAACTCTCGAGAAGAAACAGCAGTGTGGACATCGGAGCATCTGCCATCGGCCACGCGCACTAAAAAATGACGGTGAGCTCCATTGGCTGTGTGACCATCACCGTGAACAGCAAAATGCCCTTCAACGGAGGCGGCGACGGCAGCTATCAGCTGCGCGTCGTATGCTCAACCTCAGAAGCGAACTTACCGTGACGCAAGACACCAATTCGTCAGAGTCAGCAACGCAGGTGTGCAATCGAGCTGGAAGAACGGATTATTTCAAGGAACAGTTCAATGTGCACCCCAGCAAAAAGGATGCTTCTTCTAGTGAATCGGTCCATGCAGCTGCGATATCGGAGCCACTCCTGAGTATATTCAAGGCTCATCGCGACGAAGTTGTTCGTCGAATCCAAGTTGATCAGTTGTTTCTCAAACACATTGAAGAGTTGTGGGCAGCATTTGGTGCCACAAATTAGTTGGCGTACATATATTGCGTTCTGTATCCAAGTCCTCTCTGCTCTTCATCCACTCGACAAGATGTGCTTGTATGGCCCCATGATTTCTAGGGCATGTTGTCCGATAGGCACTTGATGGAGATATGCTCTGTCGCAGTCTCGAGCGTAGCCGAGATGGCATGAATTCACACGTGATCGACTTGGTGGAATGCGTAGCGCTATAGCTGATTATTCGCGCTACGTCTAGGCACGCGGGAGAACTGCGGAGTTGTGAAGCTGCGCGAGCAGCTTCATCGCCTGGATCACCGGAAGAGCAGTCTCCAGTGTCTTGGAGACCGCGGCAGCAACGCGAGATTCCTCTGCTTCAAACGTAGATATTTTTTCAGGTCGCGTATTGAGTTTTGCTAGTGTCAGAGGTTGTGTCAGGAAAATAGAGTTTCGGTGCTTCACCCGTGATAGTGCTACATACGCAAATGATACAGTAGGAATCGAATTGGTATGAAATACAACTTTGTCGCAAGTCAAGCCTTGTACTTTGTGAATTGTCATTGCATAGGCTAGCCGTAGGGGGAGTCCGCGACGGACAACTCGAAGGTCGCTATTTTTCTTTCCCCAAGTGATTTCCCTGGGCACAATCGGTACGATATTAGGAACATCTTTCAAGAGCGAGGGACCGAGATATAAATCAGTAACTTTAATGAGAATGATTGGGAGTTCGCTGCCTGTATAAAAAATGAGGTCATAAATGATTCCGTTCGTCCCATTACAAAGTCCTGCTAATTGTTGAAGGTTGAAAGTCAACGTGACAGGAGCACCCACACACAACATCATTTTGGTTGCGACAACTCTATCTCTTTCATTGCTCGTCGTTTTAGCCTCACTAATAAGGGCGCTAACTATTCCTTCAGGTATATCGCGTTTCTGGTGGAGACGCTTTTGCTGGACATGATGCAGTGCGTTGATATGAACGATGGGTACCTCATTGGCAAGTAAGCTTTCTGCGTTAGCTGCATCAACATCTACATTTTTGTGAGCAATGTGTTTAGCTTTTAAATACCAGCATGGTTCGTGCGCTGAAGGGCTACATCGTGAATTAAACAAATTAATGTCAGCTTCGGTCGGTTTACGACTGCGCAAGCGCCTCAAAGCATTGAACCACTCAGGATCACGCTTTCCTTGGTTTTGATCTGTCAGCAGGCAAACGTTAGATATTCCTTCCCATAACTCACGCCCTTTACGCTGCACTTCATTGTATACCTGCTCTAGCGGTGTAGCCAGTGCGTACGGAACAACGGGGTCTAACTGAGCGGCATCACCAGTAAAAATGATATCGCGTCCACCAAAAGGCAAACTGCGCTGCTGAGGCCAAATCTCCCGCATTCGTTGGTCAATCCAGTATAACATTCCGCAAGATATGACACTGAACTCATCGATAATCACTAAATGTACATCCTTGTATCTCTGTTGAAGGTTTTTAAGCTTATTTGCACCGTGCTTCTGCGAGGTGAGTGACGTGGAAGGGGTTGAAAACGCGGTTCGGGAAAATGATGAAAACCCTAGTGCAGAACACACTGTTTGCCCCTTAATATTAAAAGCTGCAGTACCTTGGTGAGCAAGTAGGAGAATCCGTTGGGAGTGACTTGAAGGAAGATCCCTGAAAACGCAGCGGGTATCTTTTACCAAGTGATCAATAAGCCAACTTTTCCCACTACCGCCTTCCCCGTTTATAATCATGTGTTTAGGCGTAAAAGGCGTACCTTCGATCACCGCTTTCAATCTAATCCGCGACTGCTTCATTGCCAATGTAAATGGTATCCATTGCGACTCCGACATAGTTTCTTTTGGTACTGAGGTGTCCTCATCATCGGTAATAGGATAGCGATAAAACGTATGTCCACTTGGGTTTGAGTGCGCCAAACTGTCTCTCTCCTTCATCCAAGGCTTAACGCAATCTTTCATGAAGGTTTTTGCTCGTTGAACATCCTCCTCAGAATATTTATGCTTTGCTCCACGTAGTTATTCTATTAACATCGTCTGTGTTTACTTCTAATCTACAGGTATCTTCGTCTTGCATAGATACCCCACTGTTTTCAACGAAGACGTACTCGGAGGGAGGAAGTTGTTCACAACATGGAGAGGCGTGTGACTGTCTGAGCAAATCCAACGAGTGTTGGCGAGCTATTTTAGCATTAGATTCCTGCAGCAACTCGTTATCAAGATTCTTCTCCTGCTCATGAAGAAAGCGTTCGATGCATTCATCATCCTCTTGAGGAACGTCGTCAAGTGTACGCCAGGGTACATGCAGGAATAACTCCCCGTAACAGAAATCTGGGTCATGTACATCTGGAGCCTTCCAAGGAGATGCACGAATAACTCGGGGTTTTGCGCGTCTTTTAATATAACCGCATCCATCGATTCTTTTCCAGCAATCCTGATTTTTTGTGAGCAAGTTAACCTTGTCATGTAGATCATAGTTCTCAACAAACGTAGCATAACTTATTGAATCGAAGGCGTCATTTGTTGGGCGGGCTATATACGCTCGTTCAAAAGGCTCTAACCTACAAGTTGTTCTTCGGGCTTGATCAGCAAACACAGCAAGTTCTTGCTGCTTGCGAGTGTCAACTCGATAGCAACGCATGTGATGGCGTAACACTTTCACACGTTCAACCGTCCGCGACTTCCCATGCAATGGTAGCTCGCGCAATAGAATGAAAAATGCTTCTTGGGCGCTAATTTCTCTTATGGACAAAGCGGCATTTGCAACTCGTTTTAAAATGGCATGGTGGGGTAGATTAACATCACAGCGCTTCACCGCTGCCGCGATGACCTTTTTAAAGCGCGCTGTATCCGGTTCTGCTTTACTCACGTACGCAGCAGTGTACTCTGCAGCACCATAGGCGCTGCCGATGAGTTGCACATCCATATTAGCCCTCCAGGTGGACAGCAAGGCCGGTGTGTAGTTATTGGTACTTGTGATCTCTCGTTTTAATCTAACATTGAAGGATGGTGTGCCATCGCTAGCAATTGATGCATCAATTTCAGTGTGAGGCTGGAGTTCTTTGGGGTAGCCGAACCTGCACTCGCTACTTGTTTTCCTGCATGCAGCACCCGGATAGCAAATATGCTGTTGTACGCGATGCACTATTCTAGACAAATCACACTCCCAGGCATCACTCCCGTATTCAGGAGGCCGAACTGTCAAAATATCCAGATTCTCAGCTTTGAAAACGGCACAAGTCGAACAATTACATGCATCTAGATCTGCACGGGTTTTTGAAAGAACCGAAATACTGCGATCAACAAATTCAACTAATTCGCGTTTACCCTCATCCGTTTTGGATAGTTCTAGTACGTCGGGTGCATCTTTAATCCAAAGCAATGCATGGATGTGAGGGGATCCTCGCTGCTGAAATTCGACTCGCCAAAAGAAATCATCAATCTCACCCAAAGGTTTCTCGCTCCCGCACAATACGTTGTCAAAGAAACATTTGAATCGGTGATGAAAGTAGCGAGCAGCGATATCGGGGTTCTCATTTAGTAATCTTCTCCTGTCCTTCGCAGACAAGCGTCTGCACTCATCAAAGGTGAGTTGCGGGTTGCATGCCTTGAAAAAATCAGGCCATATCGTATCAGCAGCGCTCAAAGTTAAAAAAAATGTTGGCCAGCGTGTCGGCAGAACTCGGCTTCCTATCATACTCATGAGATCGTCTCGAACGTTGCTCCAGTACAAACCACTTCCTCTAACCCCCCTAAAATAAGGCTTCAATGATTCTAATATTTGTAGTGCAGCATCTGTATCTGCATTGGAAGAGCTCGACTGCGGTGAGTCATTTTGCTGTTCTGTATCACTCACTCTTCGCACCAGTCCATCTATTTGCCTCCTTTGAATTAAGTTGAGGCAGAAGAATTTAAGTTGCTGTGAATAACAAAACGGCGATCGTGCCATTTCATGAGGTGGGCGCAATATTCAGCTAGGTGATACTCGTGTATCCGACTCTCGCCGCTTTCGAGTGGAGTCAGTCCCGCTTTCGCATCCGAAAACAGAGTTGGAAAGCAGTTCTGCATCAAAGTGTTGGTTTTGTATTCATCTATAGGATCCGTACGACACTGAAGTTCTTGTACAGGATAATCCGATTCTCCACAAGCTAGATTAGCAGCTTGAACTATTTTTTCTAACTCGCTTTGAGTATCTTGCTCGTCTCACTCAAGCTCAAATGTTTTAATTAAGTTATCCATCACATCGGGCTAATTAGTAATGCAATCAGGATCGGAACTAGATGTATCTGTTCTATTGTTGATAGTATCTGTACGAGTAGCGCAAGCAGAGTTTGATATTTCGCAAGGTGACAATAAGGAATTGGAAGCTTGTGCTGTGGCCTCACAAGTCGTTAATGGTGTTGATTCCGTTAGGATCTCCTGCTCTGGCTCACGGTTCAGCTGGTTCTCGTCGATCCGAAGTTGTTGGGCTTCTTCATCAGTGATGGATACACTTGGAATGTCGTTTACAGCGTCGAAGTGATGCAGAGCAGCTAGATTCTCCTCTAAAATCCTAACATTTTTGTAAAGAGGATTATTTTCGATAAGCCAACATAGCGCTCGTCGAAGTAAGTCGGGTCGAACGCGAAAAAAACTAGACGATTCCGTTGTTTTGGTCTTTAGAAAAACGACACCGCATCTACGAAGGGGACGTGGGAGATCGAGGACAACTTCAACAGCACTCTTCCAGTAATTGATGGAGTTACCACGGTAAATTCTTGGCCATCGCAATAGAGGTTCACACAGGTTGTAAAGGAAACACCCAAACCGATAAGACGTGCCTCCATCCGGTTCAGCACGGCAAGTTCGTGAGGTACAGGAGCCACACGGAAACCACTAGCCCTGCAAAATTTAGGCACTTCTTTCTTTCGCAAGGAAGTTTCACATCGTCGACAAAACCAAATCATAGATGTGCCGCAATGTTCGTCGTTCACAAGTGCTTCTGGTATGACCTCACATTCGCCAGTGCTGTTACAAAGGGGACGGTACAGATCTGCACGCGGATCAAATCGTTTCATTGAGGCATGCTCGGACTTGGTGAGTTCACCACAACTACCGCATACGTAAGGGAGCATCGACGGCAGCGTAAAACGCTGCAAAACCCACACAACAGGAGCCTTGTTACTCCGATTGGACACAAAACCCGCTTTTAGTATGCGAAGCGTACCTTTTGCATCTTCACTTCGGTCGCCATCGATAGGTCGATCCTTCGTCTTTGTCTTGCTACGCTTCGCACCACGGGGCTGCAGTTGAGCAGCAGCGTTCCGCTTCATAGTTTCTTCGTGACGTGCAAGCCGTTTCCTTGCGTCTTCAGCTTCAACGGCTTCGACGGGAGCTGCATTTGTTCGTCGTTTTTTTCGTGGTGTTCCCAATGCTGCGAGGGCCCGCCTCGCGGCCTTTGCGGCACGAGAATTCTGGCTTGGTTTTATCATCTTCCATTGAGCATATCTAGTTAGGACTGCTCTCTAGTATATCATGTTTAGTGGCCAATACTACTAACGTACCCGAAGAAGTTGATGATGTAGCACCACACGCTCTAGAACGGCACGCAACGTTTGTTGTATGTGCGTCGAATCTGCAAATGCTGCGCAGCTTGTCCTCAGCAGCGTCCAATTTGACGCACACCTGCACGGAAACTATTTTAGACATCACCCAGTAAGTCGATACCGTAGTACTACAAGTTCTACTTGTGTGAGACGATAGCGTTTGCTGCATCGACTTCTAGATTCGGATCACGCATACGCTTGACTCCCAGCAAGTATGTCACAGCGTGCATCAGTTAAGACCATGGCCAATAACCCCCCTGAACTGCTTGCACTACACTGAGGCGTACTTGAATCCCCGTACACACATCCTACGGAGATGCATGAGTCCAAGTTGTCTTTCTTCTAGATATACAGTGGCGTGGACGCAGCTGCCTTGAATCACTCCGTGAGAACTCAATGATGACGATGTCGGGAGGTGATGTCGTTTCCGTGTGTACTTCAAGTATGCTTCCCTACGGAGAGGCATGAGTCCAAGTTGTCTTTCTTCTAGATATACAGTGGCGTGGACGCAGCTGCCTTGAATCACTCGGTATTAATTCGATGATGACGATGTCGGGAGGTGATGTCGTTTCCGTGTGTACTTCAATTATGCTTCCCTGCAGTGAATCGGTGTTTAATAGGAAATCTTGAAATATTAGTAGTACTAGATGTCCGAGTAGTGCAAAAAGGTCGTGAACAATACAAATCTGGAATGTATTACAAATTCAAAGCTTGACTACATCGGACTACAAAGTCAAAGCTTGACTACATCGGTATCAGCCCACGGCAATCAGGTGCCTTGCACAGACATTTCTTCGTGTGCTTCAGTTTAGTCATGTTAGTAAACCCACCATCTATTCTGCATTGATTTTTTTCTCTCACCTTGGTTGCTGCGTTTCCTCCTCCATAGTCGATCGTAACCTCCTCAATAATATTAATAAGCCGCTTCGCGAAAAACCCGCAACAAATTTCGCCGTTGACCTCCCAGCGTTCGACCACGCAGTTGGACCGGCAGCTATGGTTCGCGAATCTTGCCAGACCACCGATAGCACGAGCATCAATAACCTCGCTATTTGCGGCGGCCATGCCGTAGAAGTTGGTGGTCATCTTCATTTCCTAGATAATTTCAAAAACACTCAAAAAGTTATTCATGATTCTGTAAGACGTTATAAGCTGTGACTTACCCTCTCTCGGCGCCGATACGTTGACGTGCGAATTACTTCACCAGTGTATTGGCACACAAACGTTCCTGGTAAAATTTGCTGGCAAGCAAATAGCGATATCCCTTTGTCGGGAAGCTTCTTTACTGACAGCAAAACATTGCTGCCATCCTGTATTTGCTGATTGCTACAGTGACCTCCCGTGACGCATTTTCCACGTACACATTCGACTTGCATCTGCACAATGATTAATTTTGTACACGATTCGTCAATTGTCTGTTGATTCTAAGCTTACCGAACGATTTTCACAACCGATATCGCAAGTCAGAGTCCAGTCCTGCCCCGGCTGGCACTTGCATTCAGGGATTTCGTCCTACAAACACCGTTCGATAAGACCGACATTTGAGGCAATTTTGCAGCATCCTACCTCGTCAAGAAGTCGTTGTGGTCTACAGGAAAATTGGTTCTGGTCCGCACATTCATACTCGGTAAGGGCCTGTAAGACAGTTCGCTCTTCCACCAACTTCTCTTCATAAATTAGCGAGATATACCACAGCAATGGACCTAAATGCTCGAGATCAACTCACAGGTCTGACAATCCATCTATCGCGCCTAAAGTTTGCCGCAGCCTCACCACCAACCAAAAAGTTATCCATGGTGGACTGCCGACGCGGCATCATGCCTGTCGTTTCGTGAGTAGGTCAAATTCCAAAGTGGTTGCGACAGGTGGTGTTTTCGCTGCGATCTAAAACTAATGTACCTCTGACCTGCTTTGATTAAGAGCTTTAACGACTCCATAATCCCCGTATCATTTGTATCAGCACACCTCCCAAAACTATGTTTCATATTGATCTTCAATACTACAAGTGTGGTTTTATGTTCGTGTCGTGTTATCATCATGTTAATCATGCAAGTGCGAGCTTTCCAACATTCATATGTACATCTGCGAGTATCGTTTTTCTCCTAACCATCCTAACGTTTCACATTGCGAAACTAAACTTTTCATGAATCGCGCTTGATTCATCACGTCGTTCTTCACTCCAGCGTGCGAATTTCGCGCTCCTGCTCCAGCACTTTTCGGGCTGAATTGCGGTCGGCATTGTTCCAGGCGGCAGTACTACCCTTGACACCGTTTGCTCTTGCGTTACCCACGCGACGCTACAGCACCACGCTTCCGAGGCGCCGTCGCTGTTGCAACAGTCTCTACACTGCCATCATCCTTTTGCTCCTCGTTTTCGTCGTGCTGTAGCAGGGCACGAGCCTTGGGGTGGCGTCCCGACGATACTTGACCAACTTTTCGTATGAGCACTGGACCCATCGTTTCCACGACCCGATCCGAAGCACTTTCGTCAAGTTGAACACTGCCCTTGGCAATGTCGGAATAGTAGCCGACGCTGTGCACTTGCTTGAACTCGTACACGGCGCCGACACGGAAGTGCATGCGCCCAGTTCTCGGTGATCCGATCTTCTTCTTAGCATCCCAGACAGTAATTTGGGCAATAAATGGTTTTCGGTTCACCGAATTCAGCTCATTTAACGCCTCTTGCACATCGTAGAACGTTGCATAACCACTGGAGCTGACCAGCGTAACGCGCGACCCGTTGTCCGCGCTCAATCGCTCGGCATTGTAGCAGCACATCTTGACGGTGATGTTTACGCCAGCAGGAGGTTCACGCGCAGAAATGAATTCTCTCAACTCGTTGACATTGGTGAAGAAGTTGGTCACCTCTTCCTCTCGTTGCTGCAAAACTGCGCTGCGCAAATTGTCGAGCAACTCCATGGTGGTGATAGAAGCTTGGGTTTTCGGGTAAGTCGTATGGGTGGAGGTTGTGCTCGACGCTGCAAAAGCGGAAGTAAGAGCTTTCTCGGCCAGCTCGCAGGGCAAGCTTGCTGTGCGAAGGCTTGGTGGCTTTGAGTCATAGCGAGCTCTGAGCCGACCGCATACACATCCGACTTCTAGATTTGTAGCACCCACTACTGCGCACTACTTCGACCAACACGGCAGCATTTGATTTGCTAGAGTTGTGCCCGATGGGCTGAAGTGTTCGACTTCTAGGCGCACGTGTGTGAAAAGGATACGATTCATCTCCATGGCATTGAACCGTGCGCACCATTTTACCGACGCAGCGAAAATGGATTGGTCAGGCTCGCACCCCGCCGGTCTGTACAGCTTACAACTGGATACTGGACGATCTTCTTGGCATCATCACTACTATGTATGCTATTATTGCTGTCCTTGCTTTCTATTAGAAGTGTCTAGCCCCATTCGCATCATCTCATCATGGTGCAATATCCGCCACCGCATTATGAACACGATGACATGTTTGTCTTCTCCTCATCTTTAAAACATTAGTGCTGAGTCGCGTTGAAGCATGTGAGCTGTCATTGTTGAGTGCCAGCGTGACCCATGCGGCTTCAACATGCCGATATTAACATAAAGCAACTCACAGCGTCAGTACTTTTCCCTCACTTTTTACGGCCGCCTCGAACCCTGCCGGCTTTTTACAGTATAAACTCTTGCAATGAATTAGTCTCATTTAGTATGAGTACATCCATATATGTGAGTAGCTTCGAACTTAAATATTGGCACAGAGCCGGATGGCTACAGAATTCCTTGCGCTAATTCTTCTACAAAAGTACCGTTTTAGGTCAAATCCTACTCCGCCTGTTTGAAGACCTCCGACGGGTCGCTATAAAAATAACCCTCATTTTAGCGACTGTTAGCACATTCCCGGAAGGTGATTCACCTCAGCCTTCTATTTATATACTCTAAGCTTATAGCTCTTCCTCCATCCTGGTTCGTAAACAGAAGTAAAATTGCGATATTTTGGCCCCCGGAAGCGCAATGATAAATTGTAACCCTAACCTATTTTCAAAACTTATACTGTAAAAAGGGTAAGAGCACAAGTAAATACTAGTTGCATGATTATAGAGGGGGCTTCGCCCCAATTATCAAAGTACATGATTTTATCATCATTGAAGTCCCTGACAACTATTTTTTGACAACAAAGCTCCCAAACTGCGGGTGGTCTGTTAAATCGCCTACGACGCAGCCTTGCGTGATTAGCGCGTTATTGAGTACGTTCGACGCATCAGTTATATCCCTTAACAACTGAAGCAGCGACTCAGCCACGTCGATACCGACCTCCAAACGACTCACGCGGCCACTCTCCTCGTTCATTAAGAACGTCATTTCAGCGCGGCAGTCAAGCCGCATACCGAGCAGCTTCTTACGCAGAGACCGATATATGTCTTTCACGTCTTCATCTATGCTATTCGGCTTCTCAAGGTGAGGAAACACACAGCGTATTGTGAAGTCCAACACCGTCAATTTGAGGCGGGCTGTAGCCGTCACGACGCCTGGAACCTGTTCCTCAACTCGTTGCAGATGCATGTGGGGGTCGCTAAAGTACAGTGAGTAACGTCGTGGCTGTTCAAGTAGCGCTTCGACGCCATGCAGAGCCCCCATACCCACGTCGTGCTCGAACGACCGCTGTAGGTCGGTCAGAATCTGCCGCATCTCACTATGCTTCATCATCTCGTCTGTATCCGCCATAAGCCACGGAGAGCGCAAACCGGTTTCAAGTAGGCGAAACACGTCGCTCACGATGCTCCATGAACTGCGGTTGGTCTTTTCCTCGAAGTGTAGACGTTGACGCTTCAGCTTCAATCCTTGCAGCTCCTCGTGCAACTGCTGTACCTCGTGCTGCATGCGCTGTTGGATAACACGTTGTCTATCACGGTAGCGTGCCTGGTTGTTTCGACACTGCTCGCGTCGGATGGCCTTCTTGATCTCGAGTTTCTCGAACTTGTCCATATCCTCGACGTCTCGAAGACGCTTATGACCGGAGAGCCTCGTGTTGTCTACAGGCGCTCGCATCGACTTGCGAGCATGAGAGAGAAAGGAAGTTGCGACCTGAGTGGCATCAGATAAAGGCCTCATAGCAGTCGACGAGCTGGATACGCGGCCTGGTCTTCCTGTGGTGTTTTCAATGGCGAGGGTAGCACCTCGACTGGTCTCAAGTGGGGTCTGCATGTACCATCGCTGACCGAGTGGTAGTCCCGTGCCCGCCCGCGTGGAAGTACGTGGCCGATCACCGTATCACTAAGCTTCGAACGGGGTTGGCCAAAATGGTCAACCGGCATATTGAGAGTGTCGAAGCGACTGGCCATGGGTGCGAGAAGAAGTTTGGAAATGGTTTGGGGACTGCACCAGGTCTCCCACCCGTCGGGCGGGAGTGTAAACATCAAGCATTATGCAGCTCATTCATTGCCAGTGACATCATTTTTTTATCACGTTTTCACGAGGAGGGTGCAATCATGGCACTGTTGATGGTGACAGCAATTGAGCGTCATCCGATGCTTGTCGGGATAAAGTGTGATCGCTGACTGTTCGACTGGTTCAATGAGGTGATTCGTTTATGATTTTCTGGCGATTATGGGGCGGCAAACGTACCCAGATGCTACAGAGGTCCCCGCAAGTGAGCTACAGAGCCTTCTTCGAAGAGCGTTTGAACAGCAGTATCTTCAAATGAGCAATCATGCTCAAAATTGTAGCCGCTGAAAGTGCCTTTTAGTATACCGGTATTACAATGTTGATGAAAAAAAGTGAGGCACACTTTACAATTGCATTTTAAAAATACGCAAAATATGGTATGGAGCATGCGAGCGTTGACTCTACATAGTGGCAACAAATAAAAAAAAAGCTGCAAATTTGACAGCCGATCAAGCACTTGCCAAGGAGTCACAGCTCGAAGGTAATTCGGAACACGCTGAGCAGCTTGAAGGCACAATAAGTAAATAGAGAGCATTCGTCGTGATGTGTTGCATGAAGCGGGACAAGCAAGTGCAGGCATTCACGAACAAGCAGCAGACGTGAAACGCATTAAAGCGCAGTTAGAATCTGCTATAATATAGTCGCACGATGCTTTGACAAAGTTGTTGGCACCGGCTCTACCTCCACAACCTACACCAACTTACCAGGACATTGAGCGTCTAGTACATGACTCTTTGGTAGATCATGGCAATTATTGGATGGGGAAAGAATCGAAGCGAGCAAGCGAGTCCGTGAATAAGCACCTTGAAGCAAAAGTCGGTGAACAAGTTGAGCTATAAAAAATCATTGTGTTAGTACGGTGTGGAGACTAATAGCTTGGAAATTAAAATGCGGTTGCGAGCTTACACAGAGAAAGGACAAGCAACTTAAGTCAGCGCACGAGCGCATCTACCACGAAACTTACGAAGAGACGTAAAAGTCAGAGCTCCGACTGGAGAGGCAATTGCATGGTCTGATGCGCACTAATGCAGTAGAAAACACGAAATGGCTCGGCACAGCATTACATCACCAGGATGAAGCCATTGAAGCTTTTGTACGTAAATGCGAGCTTCTGGACGTTAATGTGAAGGAAGTGGAAGCTCGTGTGATAGCACTACCGTCTTCCCCCGTACCAACCGCCTAAGCGCTTAATTCGAGGTATTTTTTTTATTTTTTTGCTGCGGCTCTCCCGATTTGAAGGCATGGTCAAATAGAACGAACCTTAACCATCAACAGTCGCTGCCTATTCCCGACCAAATTGCTGGTTGCAAGAGCAAGCTGAGGCTTCATCAGCAGCGCTCGACCAACCGTTCTACGAAACCCATCGTCGTCGGCTTGGTTTGCGAGCCTGGCCTGGGCTTCGACGGCATTCCTCAATTGTCTGCTCCGACCGCAATGTCACCTGACAAAAAGCGGAACAGTTACAGCCTTCACCTTAAGCGATAAGTCGCTAGCAAGTACAAGCCCAACACTAGAGGAGACGGATATCATGCACTGGCACTAGAGTACAAGGTGTCTTCGTCTATGGTACGCAGCTGGGTGGAGCAACTCGACAAGCTTGAAGGCGCCTTAAGGGACCGCCAAGTTGTTACACGCATGCAGCGTCGCTTTCCCGTTGCCGGACGTAAACCTGAGTTCGACAAACTCGAGAAGAAGCTCCATCTCTGGATAACGGCCCGAAACAAAAAGGGACTACGAGTCAAAGACAAATACATCCAACTTCAAGCCCTGAACATCCACCGTTCCCAGCAGGACATACCGCAGCAGAATTTTGTCGCTTCAACAGGATGGCTAGATCGCGTTAAGACCCGATACAACCTCGTGTCAAGGCGCCATACAACGACAAGAACGATCCCGTCAAACGCCAAGGAATCCTGTTTGGAATTCATCGAATCAGCTCAGAGATTGATTGAGGAGCACGGCATTTTGCCCTGCAACGTGATTAATATGGACCAAGTTCCTCGGTACTTTGAAACCGAGCCGAACAGGACCATTGCAACTCGTGGAGAACCCGAAGTGCTTCTTCGGAAAGGAGGAAGCAGCCACAAGAGATTCACAGCAACGTTCGCTATCACTGGTGAAGGCGAATTCCTAACTCCTCATCTTCTCTTCTCAAAACTAAAGCACAAGCCGACGGTTCCTGAGGGCGTTATTGTGGATGTTAACAGTACCGGCATGTGGAACGACAAAATTCTCATCGACTACGCGAAGACTGTCATTTGCAGCAGGAAGAAGACACGATTTTTCGGGCAGCACGTGCTTTTCATAGTTGATTCGTATGCGTGCCACGTGTCGCTGTTCAGCGAGAAGTGTCTTCAGGGATACAATATCCACGTGTTGTTGGTACCACCTAACCTGACAAGTCTTCTTCAGCCTCTTGATGTGGCTGTGAATCGTAGCTTCCAAGCCTTTTACTCTGACCAGTATGACGAATACATTGGACGCGCACTTGATGACCCCAAGCTGCAGACTAAGGCAGGAAACACCAAGGTCCCAAAATATTCTGTTGTTGCACAATGGGTTTTGAACTGGATCGCTACGAGGACAGCTGAGGACACACGGAAGGCATTTCGGGTCTGTGGCATTGTTGAGCGCTCCAAATTTGACAAGTCGGAGCTGCACCCGCCACTTCGAGAGTTGCTTGACTCTAGCATCGACATGCACGAATGGCACCTCCGGTACCAGCACCTGTTCGACGACGACGACAGCGACGATGACAAGGAGGGACTCTGTCTCCAAAAACCTGCTTGGTACACGCCTGAAGATATTCGCTCGAGCCTTTTCTGTTGTCTTAGGCACGCGTTTGCTAGGTATGAAGATGACTACCTTACCGATCTGACGCAGTATATGCAAGAACTCGAAGAGCTCAGCGGATTGTTTGACGAGGACTACCTTGTGTCCATCCGGAATGAACAGAGTGACGGAAGCGAACTCGCGATTTTTGCAGCAGCTCAGTACCATGGATGCAACATCGAGCTTAAAACACTCAACTACAATTGCAAGGTCGTGTCGACGTTCACGTACTCCGTAGACGACGCTTCTAGAACGATTTCCATAGCTAGAATTGGGCTGTACTACTGCCTGCAAGTGGAAGGAATGCACATCTAATACATTTGGGTCAATGGGCCTTGCGTTCGTCTCACTTTGACCTTTACCCTTCAATTGAACGCCTAGGCGCTCTAAACAAATACAAAGCACACTGTGCGTTGTATTAAAATTGAACGCCTAGGCGGTTGGTACGGGGGACAACGGTAGAGCGCAAACTAAGAACAGATGGCGATAATAAGCGCGATGGTTCTAAGCAGAGCGACGCTCAATCTCTGAAGTATCGACAAGTGGCAGAGGAGCATTTATCAATACCGCAACATGGTAGCCGAGATGGTAATTTATATGAGTAGATAGAGGAGTTGCTGCGAGGGCTCGTTAAAGTGGTTACCGCAAGTGTTCGCACAATCACCAACAGCAGTGCGGCTAACCACAAAGTCGCTGCGCTGGCAGAAGAGCGGCTTCGTGAAAGATCAGCGCATACGCGGGCTGTCCTAACCAGGTCACGTGCGTCGAGACGCTCTGGTGCAGAGTCACCATCGATAGTACTAAAGATAGTATCGCTCAGGAGCAACGTTATAGAGCTGAAGAGGCTGCTCGTGGTCACAGAGTTCAAGCTCATCGATTAGGTGGTAAGAACTAATTTATGAAAAACTGAAGTACGTCACTAAGGCCTTATAACCTTTTATCGTGTCTATTTGGGCAGCTATCGCGGCGATGAATACGAGTTGCACGCCGAGTGCGCAAGACTAGGAGCGGCTGAGGATATAATCGTCACAGCCTATCTAGACTATACTCGAAAAAAGATCGCTAATCGAATCTTTTCCAAACTCATCAGGTACCATTTCAATTGGAAATGTCATACTTGCCGGCACGTGCTCCCCAAAATTTGATTAGAGGAATTGCTTGGCACTGAGCAAGGTCAACAAGGTTGCTGTTCCTGTTTGAGAAGATTATCATGTCAATGTTTTGCGGGGACAGTCTGGTGCGCTGCGAGGTTACCATACTCCTCGCCACGCTGAAATCTCGCTCAATGTGAGCTGAAGAGGCTGGAACAGCATAAAGAAGTTTGACTGCTCTCGGTTTATTAAGATCTCCTCCTGACTGCCCCATCCATTTCCAAAAGTGCCAAATCGACTCTTGTTTTTCCTCAATAACGCGTAGCTCGGTAGGATCGTCCATCCAGCGAGAAATTTCATCATCAATTCGATTTACTATGTTGTTTGTAACTGGTCGTTCACGTACTGGTGGAGCAATATTTTCAACCAGTTCATCTGAAAAGCTGTATGTATGAGGAAGCTACTGCTGGGCTTCATAGTCGCTTGAATCCGTAGCCTTCATCAAAACACCCTGAGCTTTTCTTTGCTCTTGTCAGACACAATCTCCACTCGACGTTGATCCATTGGCATAGATTTACCGCTCTCCACTTCCTGTTTTGTTGGTTTGGTGCTCTGATGTACACACAATCTAACAACACGGTGCCAGGATCACTCAGGTCACTAGTAGGTAGGATGCAAATGCTGCTGCATTTCAACCACGTACGCTGCTACACGAATAGCTTCAGGGTTAAAATATCGTGAGAAGAACCGTTGATCCAGTGCCACACAAAGACGCTTGCGCGTTAAAGCAGCAAGAGGAGTTAATCCACCAATGGTAATCCACCCAGGCTGCGCGTTTGTCGACATGTAGTGCTGCAGAGCTTTGTCAACATTTAACGTGTTTAACCGAGCGATTTATAACTTGAAGAGAACATCCACTTGATTTGACTTCTCCGCTTGGTGGTGGTACGTTTGATTTCATCGATTGGTGTCAAAAGTGATAGAATTTGTAATAAATTCTGCTGGTCACTCTCAAAAGGGAATGTAGATGGAGGAAGTCCTGCGGGGTCGGCTTGGCGTCGCCGCTCCTGATACATGTACCAGGCCACAGCAACTTCCCATTTGTCGAGCTCTCGTCGAATGGAACTAGTGAGGCTAAGAATTCGAGCCGGGGAAACTCAAGTAGTTGTGTCGTGTCAGTGCTTGTGTGACTCTTACAAAGAGCCTTAAAATATCTCCACATTTTCAACAAGTCCAGCGCGGTAAAACGTTTTCTTGACCCAATAAATCAACCGAGTCAAATCAGGGTTACCTGCACCATCGGCCATCCCACACGCATATTTCGTCGCCGCGTGTGCCATGTGTGCAATGCACCATTTCCAACGCAGTTGTAGTGCGTTCACCAGCATACTTTTCACGTCAGATCCTTTGTCACTACATAGTATATACGAAAAATGCTCGGTTTTCAAATTGAAGTCCTCCATAATATGGTTCAACCCACGCTCGAAATGGGCCCTGGATGCCGCGCTCTCGGTCACTATACGAAAGCTGAATTCTCGAGTTCCAAGCAGAACAGACTGCAGCTCCCACAATTCGTTTATTTTAATAATCGACTTGTCATATTCGCCACAGCAAAGTGATAAGTTATTGTTGACACTCAAAGAGTTTCAACGACTAAATTCACACGTGCAGGGTTGCTCTTGTATAATGACGACGATCGCAATGCCTTAATCACGACATCACGCTTGCGCTTCCAATCCATTTCTGCGGAGATCTTTTCAAATACGACTGCGTGAGCCATTCGTAGATGTTTTGCTGCCTTTGAAGTCCGACCCGCTAAAAGTAAGAAAAGATTTGTGCCTGATGTCCGGCAACTAGCATCTGCATACCCAGCTTAAGTGTGCCTTGTCATTCTCCACGAATTCCACGCGAATCCCCACTCGTAGACGAACGAATTTTTAGAAGCAGTCGGTGGTCGTAATTGAAAGTCAGCAGGTACCACAAAGTTTGAAACAGCTACTCAAACCGCAACAGGAGGCTAACGCCATTTAAACAAATCCGCTCGGTCTCAGCACACACCGTGTCCTTAGTCACGTACTCGGTCTCAGCACTCGCCGTGCTCGTGCTCACGCCCTATCTGCACTTGTTCACGGCGCTCGTAGAGTCCTCAGGCACTTCCGCGCTGTTTGTTCACTATGGCTCATTTGCTCTTGGTGCTTTGGACCCGGGAAGGTGCTGGTACTTACAAACGCGCAAGTGGAGTAGTGGATATGTGCCAATACAGTGCCGCCTTCGCGAGCTCAACATGAACGTCAGATACGTGGAGCGAGCACAACGTTCGATTGCGTGCGTTGTGCTTCGTATTTAATGGCGCGAGCAATTGAACCGCAGTTTTCGAGCTCGCACAAAGCACCCGAGCTCACAAATCTGGGTCTTTCTGCTCGTGTACCCATGTGCTCGTCGAATGCGTGCAAAGAACCGCGCATGGAAATTTTGAGAAGAGCGCACAGTACTGTGTATAACTTGTGCGACCTGATATAATGTCTTAATTGATAGAGCTCCTGTCCATCGGTCAAATCAGGTACTGTAGGTGAGATTTTACTGTACCAATTTGCTGCCTTTCGAGCAGTGGGAAACTATGTGAATGTGTATAACAGCGATTGCTTTTAAGCAACCAAAGCTGTCACCGCCATCCTGGTCTAACGACTGTGTCGACAGCGTCGAGAACGCTTTTTTACTCTAGCATTAAAATATACCGATCGAGAGCTCTTGCTCTACAGATTCTATTTGTGTATGTTTTAGTGCGATCTGTTGTAGTTGTTTCAAAACACAGCTAAGACTGATCTTTCTTTTACAGTCGTGCACCTCCAATTCGACAGGGCGGACCATATCAACAGTGCCAGGGCATAAGTGCACAGCGTAAAGCAAAAAAACAAACGCAAATCCAGTGCACTGATATTTTATTTGTTAATTCAGTACAAAATTTACGCCAATCTTCTGCATAATCTTGGCGTCCGGCAAGGACGGGAGTGCGCTTTACTGCTCGGGGGGTCTTAAAGCGCTCCGTTGCCCAACGAGCAAGTTCGGGGTGAGAGCATGCAGGATCTGACTTGTGCTTCTCGCACAAAGACTGCTTTTGTAAGACATGTAGGAGGAAGGGCGATGTCCCATTGTCTTTGGCGGTAAAAATCAAAGTGTGTGTTTGTATGAAGACGTCCGATCCAAAATTTAAAATCAGATCGATGCGGCGTGTCATCCCTCGACGAGGAGGGGAAAACCGTTGAGGCTAATTGCTAAGGTGGTGATGGGCAAAGGTAATTGCGCATCTGATTCGCGTAATCATAAAATCTGGCAGGGTATCGACTGATACCGGTGTCAAATTGGAGGTGCACGACTGTATTCAAGTCTAAATCCTAAAACCTTTATTTTAAAATATAAAGTGTCATCAAATATGAGATATCATAAACCGATACAGAAAAAATAAAACACATTACTGTACTGGCTAAAACAGGGGGAAATCTAGGACGCAAGCTACAAAATCAATTTGTACGCTCATTACTTATGCTTTTTCACAGCCGTTTCTTACCTACAAGGATCAGCATAAGTTTTGCTCAGCCATCAAAAAAGGTCTTTAATTTCCATCTACACAAAAAAGCGATCTCGACCACTGTCGTTCAAGCGACTTTTGTACTTATACAGCTGTACCAGTACATGTACCGCTTTTATATCATGGTTCAGTACACAAAAATATGAATACCTATAATTCAGATGGTTCACGAGGTCATGGATAATCATTGTTCAATTGTGGCAAGCATTGGCGTTTCCATACCGAACACTCTTGTCGTCGTTCCCATCTCGTCCGACGTAGGAGAGCTTTCAGCGCGTCAACGTTTCCGGTACCTGCTCACCGAGCATCCTCATGGTCGTGGAACTCTCCTCCACCGACGCCGAGACTCAAACTTTGACAAGTCAACGGCGCAGGCCTGCCATAGGCCACGGCGCCCTTCGCGAAGATGATTCCCACCGCACACTTCGCAGTCCGTTATTGGCTTCCAGTGGTGCCACCAACAGGTCACCGACCGGTAGTATCGCCTCACAAACTCTGTCGGCCGGGTCAGCGCCTTCGACGTTTCTACGGCTCCGCCATCGACACTATGCGAATTTCCGTGAGCTGCGTGGCAAAATCTCCCGCGTGCCTAGATTCTGGCTCTGGCCACGGTTTCTCTACAATTCCTTCTTCGCCAAACGCCTCGTGTTTGCAGGTTTTTTGGTCAGCGTCGCTCTCGCCTGGGGAGTATCGATGTACAATATCAAGATCCTACAGTGGCTTGCGGACTTTAAGGCCAGCAACCCCGAAGACTTCGAGCACTGCAGAATGACGGTGATCTTCTCTGGTCTCATCTATCACATGTTGCCCGTTGCAGTCTTGTTATTCTTGCCTGGGTCGGGTCTGCGCAGCTTCGAGCCGTTCAAGCGAGAGGTACTGGAGCCGAAATCTGCTACAGCGACCTGGACGAATGCTGATCGTGGTGACGCAGCTGTAGATCTCGAGAAGGGAGAACGTGGTTCTACTAGCATTCCGAAGATCAGACGCCGGCTCGTTTTCCAGTTATGCGAGTTGCTCGCGGTCTGTGCGTTGGTTTTTGACGCAGCGCTGGTATTCTACTTCCCTGTCGTGCTGTTTACGGGAGCGATTTACGCGTGTGACAGCTACGCAATGCACTTGTTTACAGTAGGGGGAGCTGTCTGCTACGTTGGATTGTTTATTGTCATCTACTACTTTGCTCGATACCGAGAACACATCAAGATGCAGCTGGGAGCATTTACTGAGAGCGATCAGACGGAAGGTATTCGCAAGCATGACTTGGACTTAAGCCAAGATAAAACCATGAAGATGCTGTCTGTTGTACGGACTCGTCTGTACTACGCTACACGCCGAGGAGACCTTCCAGAAATGCGAGCAATCCTTGACTGCGCTGGAACGAGAGGACTCACCGAATTTGGCAAACTTTACGCTTCACCAACAATTAAGTTTAAATTTTTCGCCAAAACTCGTCGAAACCCGGTGCACGTGGCAGCGTATCATGGCAATATTCTAGCACTTGAGCTGCTCAAGGAGTATGGCTTCGACATGACCGCACAGGACAAGTACAACAGCGTACATTTCTCGACTGGAAGCCTCTTCTGGTATTTTGCTCGGATTTTCGTTAAGCGACCGAGTAATAGTCTCGAGAACATGGCTGTGTCTGTCTTTCAGACAACTCTCATGACGCCGCTGCACTGTGCTGTATCCACGGGCCAGACCGAAACGGTGCGATGGCTTTTGGACCACGGTGCTTGCCCAAATACATTGACGCAAGCTTCGTTCAGATCCAACCGCGTGCCCCCGCTATTCTTCGCCGAACACGCCGAAATCGCTCGCGAGTTGCTAATTCATGGTGCCGACCCCCTCGTTATCCCGGACCCAGGTTTCATGAATACCATGACACCACTGCAGCTAGCGTATGTTCGAGGAAAGTATGCTGTGGCTCAAGAACTCGAAGAGTGGGGCGGCGATGTTGCGCTCACTCCGTTCCACCTGGCAGCAGCTCGTAACGACGTCTTGGCCGTGCGAAAGTTTCTGTCTCGAAAGACTGATATCGACTGCCTGGGCGAAATGGGGTATGTGGGGCTCAACCGAAGGACGCCTTTGCACTGGGCAGCCATCAGCGGCTCGACAGAGGCTGTGAATGTGCTTCTAGAGGCTGGAGCTAACCCGGCCTTCCAGGACGCACGTGGACGCTCCCCCTTTCATTGGGCAGCAAGACTCAACAAGCTGGACGCTGTGCGTTCATTGATTGAAGCTGGCGCTGAGCCCAATTTGGCCGATGGGGAGTTCATGACGCCACTCATGTGTGCTGCGCTGGCGCTAGATGGTTCTCAAGAACTCTTTAGCGAGCTTACTAGAGCAGGAGGTGACATCGCTTACCAGCTGCCCACCACAGGCGATACGGCGCTACATATCGCCGTCCGTGGAGAGAATCAGTCATCTTCACTGGCAGCTCTTGCGAACGGAGGCGACCTCATGCCGCATGAGGTGAACTCGTCAGTGAACTCACAGCTGCGGGAGGCGACATTGGCTATCAACTACCAACGACAGGTGACACGGCGCTACACGTTGCCGTCCGTGAGGAGAATGAGGCGTCTGCGCTGGCTGTGTTGGCGTCAGGTGGAGATCTCATGCGAATGAATAACGAAGGGCTACGTCCACTGGACTGCACTGCGTCCACCAGGTTATTGTTCGAGTTGAAGCGAGCTGCCGGTCAACGAGACGTCATGATCAGCTACACGCACTCGCACTTGGCGTTTGCTCGAAAGCTGCGTCAGTCTCTGGAGGAAGCGAACGTGACAACGTGGTTAGATCTGATGGACCCCAGCGGCATTGGTGGCGGAGCTGTGTGGCGTGAGGAGATCGCTCGAGGGATCACCAACGCGTCGGTAGTGTTGTGTATCTTGACTGAAGACTACGCGTCGTCCGAGTGGTGTCTGAAGGAACTGGCACTGGCCAAACAGGTGGGGACTCCCATCTTGGCTGTCTCGACTGAAGGCGCCATCGTCGATGAGAACTTGCAAGTGTATTTGTACACGCGACAGATCGTCCCATTCGAGCCTGCCATCGTAGGTCTCCGTCGCAATGGAGGCAGGATCGAGTACGACTACGATGAAACCAGATATCGATCTCAGTTCCATCTGCTTCTAGACGGTGTACGCGATGAGGTCGAGAAGCGTCGTGACTTTACGAAGCAAAATACTGTCGCTAGCAGTCGTACTTTGGATCTCGATGGGGACAGCACCGAGGGCGGTGCCAGATCGAGCAGTCGAGGGACAATGCTGCAGACGTTAGGCAATACACGGCTATCTCCAGTCTCAAGTTCGTGGGATCCGTTCAGCTTGTCCAGTCCTAACGACCTCCATGAGCCTCATAGAATACAAATTGACCCTCATCATGAGGGTCAATTTGTATTCTTTTCTCACGGAGACAAACATATCCCTCTCGTGCGGAAGCTGGCATCTCAACTGCGAGAAGCAGGTGTAGCCTGCTACATCGATCGCAACGTCGGAGATCAAGACTTCAACGCGCGCATCCAGGTCGCACAGGAGACTATTCTGCGCTGTTCGGGCTTTGTGGTGCTGGTATCGAGACAGACAATGAGTAACGAGCTGGTTCGAGATCAGATGGCGCTCGCAGAAGACAAGGGTCGACCGATCTTCCCGATTGCTTGAGCCCGGGATTGGACAAACGCTACTCACTCGTGCGCAGTGAGCTGTTTCATTTCATGGCAAATGGCATGGGCTTTCAGTCTAGCTTCGATCGGTTGGTCGGTGTGCTGCGAGAACAATGTGACGAGGAGCAGCAAGACGGAAGCTACAGGTCTATGACAAGTAGTGAGGCAGATCAAACGTGCAATTTAGACTCCATTGAAGGTCTTGAGGATAATCATCTTGACTGGTCAAATACTTACCCGAATACGAATGTAGCAACTGAAACCAGAGAGTTGGGCTGAAGGCATTTATAGAAATCAAGAAATCATAGTCGAGAAGGAAATTACATCTCATTATTAATACATCATGTAATACATCTCATTACATCATGTAATACTCCGCACTAGTACTGTATGTTACAATAACGTAAAATAGCAGGTATTCCATGTAAAGCAAAAAAATCTCTAAACAGGTACGTGAATAAGCACAATTTTACTACTGTAGTAAGACAATACCTAAGTACATTTGTTTACTAAATAAAGGGAAAATCCTTTTTGGCCAAAATTTAAAAATATTCGTTTTTGGGGCCGTTATTATGAAAACCCACCGTGTTTTGTAAATAATTTAATTATTCTCTATGAGGTGTTATTTTGTGGATTTTCGGACTTTACGATATTAAGACCTTGTATCCGAACGATACTCGCCTTAGACGCGTAAGCGCACGTCGTACGTTACGGCTTACAGAATCACTTGTATTTTGTAAAAGTCATGTGTTTCATGTCGGGATAGGTGTATAAATTGTCAGCAGGTTTTCCGGCCAATGTCGTAAGTGATACGACATTATGATAGAGCAATCGCCGCTCAATGTCGTAACAGACTCCACTTACACTCAACAGATGGCTAAGAGCGCTGTCCGAATAGAAAAAGTGATTAATTTTCCCCCGACAACTTTTTTTCTGCGAAGAAAAAAATGAGCCCAATAAATCGTCGCACGTCCAAGTGAGAAATTGACTCCGCCAAATTTATTCCACCAAACATATTTAAATTCATACAATCATTTTGATAGGTTGTTTCCCTTGAACTTCAATTCCGCACGCGCATTGCTGAAAGAAGACGGCCAGCTGGAGCACGCTATGTCTACGCAGAAGTGCAGCAACGCTTTGGCAAGTGATGAGACCCCTCCAATTGCAGGCTTATCTGAAAGACTCGTGGTGATCCGTGGGAAGGAAATGGATCCAGTGCTGTGGTCTGAAGCCTCCGGGGAAGACTCTCAGCAATCGTCAAGCGAAGCTACTGAAGCCCCACCGACAAAGAAAGCTCGACTGGCCTCCGATCAAGTTAACGTGAGAGCATCACGTACGAGCATCCCGACCAAGAAGAAGGCTGTTTCCAAGAAGAAGACCGCCCACAAGAAGACGAAGAAGGCAGCTCCCAAGAAGAGCGCTCCTGCTAAGAAGACATCCGCTCCGAAGAAATCTAAGACCTCAGCCCCACCGATGCGCTGGACGGTCGCGCTGACAGCGCTAGCAATCGAGACTCGCTACAAAAACCCGCGTGTGCTGAAGAAATTTGCAGTGTCGACAGCAGACACGAAGATGATGCGTGCAAAGTGGGAAGCCACGGTCCACACATTTTAGGTCAACGAAATGGTCTCCTTCCTCGTCGTCCATGCCATCAGCAGCTTCATCAAGATCTCGACGCAGCTGTGTCATTCCAGCGTAGCGAGAGGCACTCTAGTCTGCGAGTTGGCTCCGTGTTGATGAGCTACTCGACAATCTTCTCTCGCCACCACCTTCTATGCTGAACAAAAGTGATCTGTCTTCCTTGTCGGAATCCGTACACCCCTGGACAGCCCCTAGTTCCCTTGCCAGCGTCGTATTTGCTTCATAGTTGCTGTTTTCTAACACAATGACGGCATCATCCCAGTTAAAGCAAGCATCAAGTAGGATCATGACGATTAGACGCACCAGAGTCAATGGCCATCGGCATCACACCCTCCGCGACGCTCTCCGTGACGCCCTCCGCGACGCTTGTGTGTAAATGCACGCTTTGCTCCGCGCAGAAAGCTTCCTCCATTCCGCACTCGACTCGCCACTTCAACACTAAAAAATGAAGCGCGACTCGAAAGAAATAGGTGGCGAGCCTCTTTCTTTTTACCGCTTTAAAATGAAGCGTCTGCGGCACCTCGTTTTTCTTAGCGCTACTTCACAAAAAAAATAGGTGAGAAAAATAGATCACTTTTCTATTTGGACAGCGCTCTAAGGGGGTTCGCTATTTTGCAACTCATTTTTGAAAACACATGAAAAAGGTACGTTGGCTCAACAAACTTTGCATTCAAACACAAGAAGCTCACCACTCATCAACTGAAACGCAGTCACTCACCATAGTTGTTTTTGTCAGCGTCGCTACCATTGCTTCGGGATGCTACAGTTCCCGCCGTGTCATCTTGCGCTTTCCTGGATTCTTGCCAGACCGGCGCATCACGACGCGCTTCCCCAGGTTGACTGGAATGTCCTGTCCGGAGCCGAAGTCGTCGTGCCAGATCTCGAAACAGGTCTTGGCGACGCCCTTGTACTCGCGGTGGATCTTGTTACACAACCAGCATTTTGCGGCATCAATGGAACAACGCTCGCAGTAGTAAGTCGTCGCGAAAGAATTTTTCTTTTCGGTGCGCAGAAGCGCACAGACCTTGCACGACCGTTGGCGGCGCTTCTGAACGCCGCTGACGGTAACCCAGTCTTGCGACTGCTGGAGCCCGTGTGCTAGGCATACTGGTGTTCGCCTACGTTTCGGACTGGACCGAGGTGGCGTAGCTTGGACTCCTCAAAGTCCTCGACTTTGAGCTGCAGGAGTTGGTTCTGAAGGGCTGCAAACCACTCGGAGCGTCTCATGGCTACTTCTCCCTTGATTTTGGCCGCCTCTTTGTGAGTCAGGTACGCGTTTACTAGCGCCAGGCCCAGGAACTCCAAGAACAACCCCTTGTAGTAATTAGTAAACCGCGTGGAAATTTGGAGGGGGTAACTCTGGAGACGGAGCTGATCATGTCCTCTCGATAGTGGTCGGCGTCATGGTAGAGCCCGTGCAGAGGTAGTAGACAGGCTTGCGGCCCCACCAGAGGCATGAGATCATGGTGGGGACCGCGGCAGAGCGCGAGAAGACAAAGGAGCCACGCGGGGTGCTTGATGGGCGGGTCTTGCTGCCTGACGTGATGCTCTTGTCGAACCCCAAGCGGTTCGTCATGTTCGTTGCAACCGCATAAACATTCATCTTCAGCAGCTCGACGGAGCGAAGAATGGAGGAGTTATCTGTCAATGACGAGAGCATGCCAGCTGTGTCGGGATTGAGGAGTGAGCGCCGTCTTCATATTCCGTAAGATGGCTGCTACTTCAGTCTTGGAGTCAATATCACCCCCATCTACGTTCTTACACTTGCCCACATAAATTTCAAATCTACAACAGTTACGACATCAAGAAATGTTAGCATCCGCTTTAACCTGTAAGTTACGACATAGCAAAAAAGTAAAAAAAACTGTGACAGTACGCGGTCGTTGCGTCACACAACATAAATAGCTTGGGATCCCCGGAGCGGATGACATGAAAATATCATGTACGACAGAATATCATGTTTCTCACGTTTCATGTAGTTCTCCAATTTCTATTATCTACCAATACTTCAGGTATTTTTACCAAAACGCACCAGGTTGCAAATCATGGAACGTGTCTCCGTGAACCTCTTGGCAGATCGCGACCACACATTATTTACTTGAATAAAACAGGCTTAGCAGGCCTCCAGCGCTCGACTCAGTCCAGAACCAGCACGTTGGATAACATTTATCAAAAGAAATCCCAGCTACCCCTTCAGAAAATTGAGCGACGAGATGGTCAGGCTCGTGCTTCCTTGTGATCCGTCGAATCATCGCCATTCCGCCAATATGGGAGCTGCGGTATTTCTTGAAGTCACGCGCTGCACAAACTAACGAAATGTTGCCAACTGGTTGATTATTGATGCGGCGACATCGCCACATCCAAATAGAATTGTGGTGAAGGCAGGTTCGATACAAAACAAATGAGCCCTGCTAAATTGCGCAAACTGGACCGTCGAGAGCAGTGTCGAATCAATTAAGCTCGGTACCGCTGCAAGCAGCGCAACAAAAATCTGCATCTTGAATAAGTTGTGGGTCGATTGCACAACGAGGTCAACCGTTTGAAGAGTCAAGACCAGTATCTTACTTCGCGTGACGTCAATGTCCATGGTGCATCGTTACAAACCTGTTTTTACTCTCTGACAAGTTCGTTTCGATCTCCGCGAAATAAGATGTACATCGAAGAACTCGTCGACTTCACTGGTTTCTATATGTGCGACTATAATAAAGTGCTGCAGCAGCTACGGTGCTATTCACAGTGCTTCGAAAATCCCCAGCTCGAACTTCAACGGATAGAAGCCGAAGCTCCTGGAGTTTTGGTTGCCAGCGCGAGCATGAGCATTACTGTGACCAAGTTTGCGTTGCATCATGAATCCCCACAGCTTTTGGACATAAATGAGCTTCCGAAAAAAAAACGCCTCGTTGAGGGACCAGCTCATCGACCGTCGGCTTGAATGCAGTGTTTCGATGCGTTTCATGTTTGGTGAGGAGACCGGTCGGGTGGCAGCCTTGGGGCAAATATTGATCTCGTGACGGCTTTTTCTAGGGTACTGGGAAGGCCGGAGAACGTAGCTCAAGTGCTAGTTCACGCTCGTGCGGAGTATTTTAATAAGCTATGTGGTAGTCAGGGATTGGTATTAGTGTACTTAGTATTGTGGATTTCATGTTTTTTGCTGCCCCTGTTAGCTACTTATTTCGGACGAGCCCATATGACTAATTTGGATCTCATCTCAGGATAGGCTTCCTCATTTTGGACCTTACACCCCGTTTTAGTCTCACCATGAACTATAAAACCGCAAAACTGGAGCCAGTGAGAGAACCCCAGAGAGGCCAGGGGGCTAAGTGGCGTTGCCGGCAGCGTGAGGCGAACCCAGTACCG